TTGATGGGGTGAGTTGTACCAAAAACCGCATGAAGTATTTTGGTGGCCTGATAAGTAGCATAAAATTATTTTCAGTTTTAGACTTTATGCACAAACTGGGTAGCTTCGTGTACCAGCAGGGTTCTGATGGAGGCAGCTAATGCTGTTACTTTCCCTTTGAGGGAAACAACAAGGAATTTTGCACCCAATTGGATAGAATTTGCTGCGATTTAGTGTTCACTTCCTGCTCGGGTGGGTTAGTTGGCTCAGCTTTGGCCCACTGACTGCAAAGGTCCGTATCGCCATACGGCCTACATAGATAGCACAAATTTTGCATTCAACCAACCGTGCCTACAGTTTATCTCGATGTAACCTTGCAAAGCTGGAGGTATTCACGACGTCGTAGTGATGTGTTCCTACAAGAGATGCGACACTAGCAGGTTTTTGTAATTGAGGATTACGATGCAGTACTACACCGGAAATACTCACAAATGAAATAATTATAGGGAATTTTTAGGAATATAACTTGCACATCAAATTCTTATCCCTTCCACCGCGGCGTGTCTGTGTCAATGGGTTGGTGGGCTTCTGTCTTTTACTCCTCTACAATTCGCGGACGAACCCTAGTTGATGGTATCAGTTTTGGGGGAAATCCTAATGTGATTATTTTACTTGATAAAAGTAAAAAATCTGCTTATTACCATTCGAAGTGAAAGCGAACTTCGTCCAAGAGTAAGCTCAGAACTCCAAGCCAAAATTCCCTTCTTAATACGACTATTATGAGCAAAAGTACCACTTTTGAAAACTCATCAAGCCACCTCTTTATAACCTATTTCAAACAATTGAATCAAAATTTTCAATAATTACCTTTTACAGAGGACTTACTGTGCAGAATCTCTCGATAATGGTCCATTAGAATGAATGTACATGGGCATGGCCTATTTGTTCTTTTGTCTCACTTCCCATACCCCACGCCCACTGATTTGAAGGGTAGTTAGGTTTGAGGTAGCTCCCAATTTGAAATCTTCATTGTTCTGATGGCAGCCGATTTTGAGCAATGTCAATGGTCAAAAGCGTAACTGAAGTGTGTTGTGAGTCCTCCCATAGTTGAAAAAGAAAATCTCTGCATTCAGAGTGAGTTCTTGCTCACCGGTGGAAGCCGATGATCCTACTTTCGACGGGAGCTCCGGCTTTCTTGATCATTTTGCACGGTTCGTAAAAGTGGTTCCTTCTAAAGATCCCTTTAGCAGTCGGAAAGTCATTTCGGAGCTTTCATTGGAAGTGGAAGTAACAAAGTTTGCATCGAGGATGAGCTCATATTTTATATACTTGAATGGGTGATGGTGCAAATACGAAACGAGCCATCTTATTTATGGGCAATTGGAGCTAATCATTTTGTGTAATCACAATAACTTATTTATATATGTGAAGTGTTTGTTTGATGCACCGATACCTCACTTGATGCTTCAAATGCTTTAAACATTATATCAAGATTTTAGAAATTGATCATAAACATCATTGCTAGCCTATGAGACCCAGATAACGAAAATACTAACTTTGCTACCATACCTTATTCGTGTCTATTTGGTGGCAAAATAATGTGAGCACAGCTAGCTCCACTTAGAAAACCTAGCCCCGCACTACGAGCAAACTCTACCTTACTGCCATATAGTGTGCTTTTGTGTCTACTTAGCAAGCGATACGTTTTTGTCAGATGATTACCTCAGTTTGGAGGAGGCATACCTGCAAACTGACGTACTTGACTCTGCTTTAACCTTTTCCATTGCAAATAGTTTAACTGAAAACAAATAGCTAAAAGACAGGAGTGCGTAAAGTACTGTACTCCTGAGCTCAGGAACAATATTAGTAAAGTAGTGACGATCTACCTAGAGGAAAATCAAGCCCTGCACATTCAGAGTTGAGCCTAACAAGTATCAGCATACCCCAGCAAGAAGGACTAGAAATGTGTAATACTTTGGTTATTCAAATATCCCTTTTGGTAATGGGGCCACTTTGGGTCTCCGCCGTTGTAGTTTTGACGGGTGGACTGACATTCGGTCTACACCAGTAGCCCTCCCGCCTTTCCGTACGCCGAATGTGTATATTCTACCCGGGTATTCTGTCTTCCTTCGTCTTTAGGGAAGTCTTGAGGCGCTACAAATACATCTGAGACTGCGTATAACTATTTTACTAGGAAGCGACTTATCAAAGCATTCATTCTTACTCAACCATCTAGCTACTGCGACAGACCGACACATAAGTTAATTTACGTGCATCATCGTTGAGCTCAAAAGGTGTCTTAAGGATAAGTTAACCAGTGAATTACAGCTTTTACACCGACAACTTATTTGACAGAAGAGAAATATTTGCACATATTCGACACACCTCGTACAGTTTAATCTGATTTTATTGTATATAGTGTTAATTAACAACGCGTTTTTCTAAATCGAATGTAAGCTAAGCATTACCAGTACCTTCATTCTGAAGTAAAGATGACATTCTCCTCTGGGTGGTCTTTTCGAATATGTGGCGCCAGTAGCCTTATCGGCTACCGTTATAACGGGCCACCTAGCTGTGCATGTGTCTACCATGGTAGACCTTAACTGACCGCACAAGCGTTGACAGTTGTTAGGGCCATGACTCATTCCAAAATGCGACTTTCCCTCACTTTCCGCACGGATAGGTGGGCGGTGAGGGCTGAAAACTTAAAGCCCTTAGGGGGTTTTTAAGTCCACGTCTAGGATTCAGAAACTCATTGGACGCAATCTCATACCGTTACTGCCTAAAGGCCACCCGAAAATACTCTCCTTAGAGGGGCGCGAGTTAGTAACAGCACATAAGTATTCCAATTTAAACACGATACTGGGCTTCATTGAAACATGACCTTAACACCCGTTCTCCCACCATTTATGATTTGTTACTACAATTGTGCAGATAAACTCTTTGCAATACAGTATTTTTATAGCCTACAGATAGGGCTACACAGAATTTGCTGAGATATAACGTTTTCTTTCCTTTCTTAAAAAATCTATCGATTAGTTGGGGTAAAATATTTCCAAAATAGATGTAGGCCAATTTTGACTCTTCCACTTCAAAAAAACACCTTGAATAGCTCATTTAATTGGATATTTCCTGTCAAACTTAGTTTACTGAAACTGGCATAAGTAGGCATACAAACCTGTATTTTCCAGTGCTCTCCTCGGCCTTGAAATCTGCTGCCCCAAACCTGCCGGAAAGTAAAGATGAAAGTGACAGTAAGAAGGACTACACCCTCGTAATCCTTGCTTCACATTCGTCAATCATGTGCTCCATTTAAAATTAGCGAGATCAATAAGATAGCGCCATCTGAGAGGCACATGCAGACGGTGAATGGGGAACGACTGGTCGGCGCGAACAAAATCGGAGAAAGGGCAGGTGCTGAGTAGTCAGAGCTATGGTGAATGGTCTCCCAGTAAAACTGCATCTAGATTTCCCAGTTTTTTAGCGCCTAGACCTTTCCCTGACTTCGTTCCCAATTTCACATTCCCTAAATTCGATCCAACTCTTTTCCTGGCAGACATTGGTGCTGAAGATATAAATTTGAACAATCTTGTAAAGAAAAAGAGGCAAAACAGCGTACCCAAAAGTCGGCTCTTTGTATATGGTCCCGATAAGATGCGCTATTTGATGCAGTTTCGACCAGCAAACCCTGAATTCACATTCGTTTATGCCGAAGACAGACCCGCTGTTGAAGCTCAGAAAACGCGTTCGACTCAATCTCATGCGATTGAAAAATTTGTAAGACTCAAGGATGGCATTCTTAATAGCAAATTTTACAAGAGGACATTCATCATTGCTACAAATCAACATAAGACATCCAGCCAGGTACCCAGCTTGCACTGCGATGAAAATTTTGAAAGCCAAATATTCATCGAGAAGGATGGCATGGAATTCCTACTGTCAATAAAGGGAGACCTAACCGTGGCAACCTATTTTAAGTATGAGGCTCCATTCAACTATTTGGGTCTTTGTAGAGCTTCCTTGTTGATGAAAATAGACTCGGAGGGTGATATATGTCGAGTATGCTTCGATTTGGTAGACTTAGATTGTGCGAGAATAATTCTGAAGACATCAAAAAGCTCTCAGACCACAGATCCCTACATTTACTACAAAATGCGTGGTATAATCGGTTCCTCTGTGTATGTTCCTGTCCCACTCTCGACCTACTTCTACAAGGATCCGATGACTGACATTCGGCTGCAAAGCCACCGACAGCTGCTGAGGGGTGTGGAGCCTGAGTGGATGACAGAAGTGAGGCGTAAACGTCTTTGCCGCCCAAAGAAGGTAAAGGCAGATCCGAGATATCCGGGTTCCCTTGTCTCCAGCTTTATTGTGGAGCAAGGGGGATACGTTTACAAGGCCTGCACAGGTCTCTTGAGGGCCAAGCTAATTCACGGATTTCCTCTTTATGACGAGTTTGTAAGAACACATCTTTCAGAGGAGGAAAAGTTTTCAGAAAAAGCACTTGATTTATCTGATAATCCAAGTTTTTTGAAGATTTGAACAGATTTCTCGGTGTTCCATACCCGCACTTTTATACAGCCACAGCTTCTCGTAGGTTTGCTTGGAGTAGACGTATAAAAGTCTACTTTGACCCGATAAATTTCAAGTAAACTGCCACAGCATTACAAAACAGTTTTGAACATAAGCTGATCATTTTGAACTACGCCACAATCAAAAAGGTGCTTTTGGGTTCAGCTAAATCCCGTAGTTAATTATTTGACTCGTACCTCATAACCAATTTATCATCTTCATTTTACTAATTTTAAACTAACAAATCAGGAAATCCGCTGAATTATAATGCAATGCATTTCTTCACCTCCTACTACTCTTAATTATTCTTTTATTTACAAATGGAATGCACAAAATTCTGCAGCTATTCTTATTCAAACACACTTTCGCAGGCAAAAGAGATCATTCTTTTGTTCAACTGAAGTTGCCATTGCAGAAGTAAGTTGTGATGGGTACAAAAACGCGGGCATAAGTATTTCAGAATTTAAACAGTAATGGATCAGCCGCGCTTTATGCAAAAAGTGGAGGGACCAGTTCGAGGTTTAGCGACTCGAAAAGCGCCTCGAGTTATCAGTGACTTTAGTAGATCTCCTCTTTCATTCAGTTTATGCTTGGAAGTGAGTAAATTTTTAAAAAGTCGTGTTGCATGCTATCTCCAGCAGCGATTCACGAGCTCGACAGGCTGAATATTGTTTAAATCACCTAAAGTAGTTGCTTCCAGTAAGATTTTGACATTACTAAAAATTGCAACGGTCCATAGTAGAACGAACCATCCCTATTCGTACTGAAATTAGGTAGACAACTAGGTAGATATTTCCAGCACAATCAATTGGCGTAATTTGTGCGCGTTTCCAAGGTAAGCATACGTTGTATCGTACCGAAACAAAAAGTATTCGGGGAAAAAAGAAGAAGATTACTTGAAAGAAGTCCTTCGTATTTTACACACCTATTATATGCTATTTTCTGAAGCTGTCTGAAAATAAAATTTTATCAGCCTATTAAATTTGAATACATTCACTTACTATCAGTAAGATATAATGATATTTACCTTTGTTTACCAAATAAACCATTATCTAGTGCTTCTGTGGAACACTAGTAGGATTGCTTGACATTGAGAATGCATCTCTTGCGTCTGAATACAAGCAACGCTTGTCCCCAAGTGCGTAACAGTAGGCCGTTAACGGAGAGAAGCTTTGACGCCAGTTGAGGGTGTATGATGGTGCGAGAAAGAGGGTGAAGAATGTTGCTGCTGTCTGTTGTTCAAAAACCGTAAATGTCAAAGGATCAATGGGACCTTGGGCTAGTTAGCTGGTTGCCTGCTTACCTAACAGAAGGGTGGGCGCCTGGGTTGGGGGGTGGCGGCGGTACGCCCTAGATGGATTGGTGCACACCCGACCTTGATGACAACAGCCTCAGACCATAAGGCAACAGTATATTACACGCAAAACTGTCTCCCTTCATCCACACGGTCGAGGAATGAATGAAGTACGTTTTACTTTATTGTTGCCTTAATCTAACACCTCAAGTCAGTGGATACAGCATTTCATTTCAAAATTTTACTGCTTAAGAATATCTCTTTACACGAATTAAGAACATCAAATAAATCCTGTTCGGTAAAAAAACCTTTCCATTTGAATGCTTGGGGAATAGCGGCACTACAAGTTGTTCAGGTTGATCGTTGTGTTAATAGCAGATATCTTCTCTACGAACCGGAATTGACCACAGACAAGAGAATGCGAAGTTCCTCAACATTCACTATGTTCTGACTAGCTTTTCATTTTTACAACCTGGCAAATTTCATTAAAAGACATCATTTTAAATAAGTATCAAACTGACAATCGACCCATTTAGACATTTAAACACCATTGACTCTGCAAAATGACCTATGTAGGATTTGGGAAAGCGGTTTCTATAAATTACCACGCACAGATGTTTGACACGAGAATAATGATTGCTGTGTTTTCAGCCACCTTAAGATATGCGTTTGCATTGTCGGAGAAAATACTGCACTTTTTTAACTCTTTAAAATAATTCGGAATTAATTGGGGAGATCGAGCTGCGGTGTGTCACGGACACAGCATAAATGTTTCTCAAACAGCTAGATATTGCGAGATGGTATTTACGAATAAGTTAGCTATTGAATTTGGTGGAATTCCCCAGTTCAACATTTCTAATTTCTTTTAGTTCATTGACAACATTCTTATTTTCAATTATATATAGGACAGTTCGTTGTACAGATATTAGCTTTGGAAAATTTTGGTTTGAGCTTACAAAGGTGGGTAAGGATTGCTGTGTCGGTAAGGTGAAGTTATATATCCGTGGGCAATATGAAATACTAATGTCAACATCTGAAGCAAGTCTTATCATTAACTTACAGAAGGGCCGCAGGGCTATGGACATAAGCAGGACACCAAAACTAAAGTAAAGGCTTTATTAAAACTATCAATAATTTAAAATTTTTCTTGTTTCGAAAAAGGGGCTTTTAAAGTCTCCCTTGAGGCCAAACCGAAGGTCACTGATGAAATTTCCGAGTGAGACAACCATTTTGTCCCAATATGGTCAATTCTAATGCTTCCAGAGTTTCGCCCTTTCCGTAAACTCTATTAAGAGGAATCACTGGCTTCGTACACCTCAAGGCTAAGGTTACTTTTTTGTAAACCAATAGCTATTTGTGTGAGCATTTACCTAAAAGCAGAGGCATCTCATTACACAGGTAATTTAAATTAACTTCACAAAAAAATTGTATCTTTTAAAGATATGCCCATTAATAATCTTTTTAGATTAAATTTTTCTTAATCAATAACCAACTCTAGAGTGGTTTACGGCATCCGTAATTTTTCGTTTGTCACGGGGTTCGCAGAGCGAAATAATTGTATGCAGCCTATTCTACCGACAGATTTAATGGATTTTAGTGAAACGGACTGCGCTGCTGACCTTAATTTAAGCGACTGATCCCTTTTTGTGGACCTAGTAAGAATAGCGCATAACTTTCGCATGAGGAATGTTCTCATTTGTAAACTTAAATACCTATTGTTACACTTATCGGTGGGAAATTAGAAATTATACTTGAATATGAGAGAAAGTGAATGAGAACGATTTAGTATGTTCTCTTCGTCCAGGTACTAATTGGTGAAATCACGCTCATAGCATTATTTCCCATGGAGTTTATCTGTAGTTCCATGCGAATTAGCGGAATTACGAATGTCTGAAGTCTGGACATCCTGCTTACAACGTTGAGGTCATAGAGGTCATCTCAGTATTCCAAAACGTTTGATGAGGTCTCCCCAAACCCTAAATTTGTTAACTCTTCGACTCACCTCAGAGGGCACTGACAGAGAACACAGTCTCTCTATCGCAAATAATAGTATTTAATAACTCAGCGTAGAGTGGATAAGGATCAAAATATAAGAAACCGACTCAGTTTGAAAGACAGTGGTGTGTTGTACAGAGTTGTCCTATTAAGCCCTAACCATTCTGGTGGCCGATGTGCGTGGTGAATCCTGCAGACGCGAGCGCATCTGTAGCGGAACGACCGATGCTAGTGTCTCCCCATAAACATGCAGCAAATGGCTTTGCGAGGCGATCCAGATGAGGGGGTCGTAGCCTCGTTCTAACTTCGGGACACTTGCCCAACCTTGGAGTCTGATTGGTTCATTATCCCCCTGCCCTTGAATGACCCCATCAGGCGCGCATGTGCATGCATGCGCATTTGGGGAGAAAAAGCACAAATAAATGTGCCTACATGAAAAAAAGATTCGCCAAGAAGCATAATGCCGATGGGACAGAATAAACTCGCCGAGTATGCACAACTTATTCGCAAACAGTCCCTAATCAGGCACCACCGGAAATGCTCTAGAGATTTGGTACGGTCGAATTCCTTGCTCTTTATTTCCAAATCACATTCCATGTAACTTTTCTCCATTACAGCTACTTAGTGCTAATGCCTTTTGGTAAATTATCTTAACAAGTGAACAAATGCATAATGATTTTCTGCTCGGTAAATCCTTCAAATATGAACATGCAGGGATAAAATTATTTTGTGGAATATTTTCATATTTATTCGTTCAGAAATATATTCATGAGCCTTAGATTTTTCAGACAATATTCACAAAAATGCCATTATTTGAACTGGAGAAAATATACAAAACGGCTTCCTTTGGCAAGCAAACAAATCGCTTTCCATGTAAACGTAATGATAAACCACAAGTTTTTGAAGTGAGCGCACTTTTTCATTGATTTAAAAATTCGGTTACCATAGTGACCGTAAACTAAGTGATAAAGTCTGATGCAAATAATTATTACCAAATTTGTAATTTATGCAAATCCTAACTTTAACGTAGTCTCGTCAGTGCATATCCCACCACCAGTAGTAATCATGCACGACTGCTACTTGTCATATTCTGTCACTTTTATGGTGCTCACAGTACAGTGAGTGTGATTCTTTTCGATGCAGATAAATAAGAGTTTGGATTTCAGTCATTCTTTGTGCATACTTGTTTGTGTAATGTACAAGTTGATTTCATTTAGGCTGACAGCAGTATCTTATTGTGAAGATCTCTAAGGTACGCTAAAGTCCACGCACCTATTAAGAGTTTTTGCAATGAAGTACGCAAACAGGGTTAAGAAATGGACATTCCAACTTGTGCAAACCTTTCCCATGCACATCTGAGTGCGCAAAAAGACATGCACACCCATCCCATTACTTAGCTAACAGGTTGCAGTCTTTCTGTGTCCGATTGGTCCCAACAATAGGACTAGCAGGTTTCATGGGGGGGGGGGGGTGGTGTAGCATCACTTGGGCAGTGGGATCACAATGCCCAACGTGTATGGCGCTCTATCGCTCACGGACGTTGCTGAAACCCTGCGTGAGGGCTCCATTCCCCGGTGTAAGGCGGTCGAGTCCGTAAACACTGTAAGCTCAGGATTTTCTTTAAATTCAGTCCAATATATGTATACATGAGACATCAATTCATTAAAATCACGTAGTGGCCTTCCATGTCCACGCATCATCCGTCACGCAGAGCTCTCGATTGAATTAGTAAGCCTCCTTTGATCGCAATCAATGATTTAAGGTAAATTCACAACCCTTATATTTATATACTGAAGTTATAGCTTCGAGCATCAACTTGTGTCGCCCTCGATGCAGGTTGGGGATACGATTAAGGGTGTTAACCACTTTACTTATGGTAATAGAATATTATTTGAATCTAGGACAATGGGATTGTCCAATTGTCCACTATTTTGGGGAATTTTCAGTGTTGACACGGAGTCAGGCATAAGTGTTTGATGGTTCAATTTGCAGATGGGATTTGATTGACCACTCTAAAATTAAGAAAATCAAAGTAGATTCCAGCGAGGAATCTGGGATATTTCTTAGTAACTGTATTTGCAAATCAAACAAGTTAGCATTCGAGTAGTATTTTTGCAGCAGTCTAGTTACAGATATGATTAAACATATACATAAACATTTAGTATGGGTCAGAGCTGGCAGGTTAAATCAACGGGCAGCTACGTCCAGTTTTCTCCCAACACATTAATTATCTTGTGCACGTTAAGTGGTGGAAAGTCAACGAGGTCTGTTTTCATGCCACTTCATTCTTACCTTTGCAATGGCTAAACGGTAGGCTGGAAGGTTCACCATCCACTAGAAGTTGATTGGTTCCACAAGCTTCCCGAAAAGTTTAAAAGGCTAATAGCGCCGATTTCAACCAATCTGGGTAGTATCAGCAGAGGTGATGTATAGCATCGTCGATGTGGCTGAGAATGTACGCAAGTTTTCTTGCTTCAACATTGGGGAAAGGAAGATAAATAAAGTTGTAAGTACAGATTTCATTCGCTTTTACGTGCATATATTCATGCAATACAATTCAAATATGATTTTTTCCTTTATACATAAGCCAAGTACTGTAATGGGGCTGAACTGAGGACGTTATATAAGGCTACAATCAGGTTGATGAGACATAAAAATTTGACTTTTTCATCATATAACTGTCAAAAATAATTATGGCTACTTAGGCGAAGTGTACCTTAAGGTTAGGGTGAGCGAGTAAATAATCTCCTTTCAGAGAGAAGGTCACTTCCTGTTTTCGATGAATATCGCTTGCATGACCCCAAACTTCCAAATATAGCTGACTTAATTCACAAGAAAATGTAGTCTCTAAAGTCAACATAATCTATTTTGTCCAAAAAGCGTCTTTTGGAAATAAAATTATGGATTTGTAGGCTTTCCTTTATACTTAGTAATGAAGGGTAACAACTAGATTGCGATTTTTTCAGTGCATATATAAAAAAGCGTGGTAGATTATTCGGTGATCAAGAGACTGGTGTATTTTCTGGTGAGGAGATCATCCGTGTTTCTCACCCATCCAAAGAGTAACGCTTGCCACGAGATTGATTTTTTAAGTCCCATTCGGTATCTTTTAGTGTGTTCTTTAAATTGTTAGGAAGTGACAAAAGAATACAAAATATTTCCAGAGAGTGATATGCAGTCCTTCCTAAAATTAGATAAATATACATTTGGACACTAGTTTACTAATGGTGCTTGAGTGAAGGTAATTTCAATTTTAAATGCAGATCTCTTAAAACTATGTTAATTTGTAAAGTTTCCTAACTCACTTGTGTGTGTGTGTGTGTGTGTGGTGGACTGCAGAGGCAATTGGTCACTATGATTTGTTCCCTTTCTGAGGATTAAGTAACAATTTCATCAGGGACCTACTTCCCCAATACGAACCAGTCCAAAGATATGCAAGCAAAACTCCTTAGGGACCAGCCGCAACTGATCAACCGGTCAGAAGAAAGCGCTATCCTTGAGAGATAGCTCATACCTCATTCGACCGCAAGAATTAGCCCTGAAAAGCTACGCACCTTAGTCAGACAAGACGCCCTCCCACTTCTTGCCTTCGTCCTCTCAATGACGGGCATAACCTTTTCTTAGCATTAACCATTAGCGTCGTCGGCTAATGAATAGTGCTACCAGTGATAGTAATGGTAATAGTAGACGTTTTAAAGATAAAAGTGAGACAGAAGTGTAGGTTTTCGCTTACAAAGACGGAATTTTATTCAAAAGTGGAATCCTCAGCAAGCTTATGCGTCGGTGGGAAAGTATGAAGATTATAATGATAACTATTTCAGCGAATCCAGTGTTATGAGATGCTTGTGACAGTTGCCCAGTTTTATTTTTTAAAAAAAAAACGCGATCTTTTTTGGCTACCTTACTGCTACTCACATCTTCGAGTTGTTGCAAGCGCTAGTAAATGAGAGGCTTTCACTTAATATAGCATATTTAAACATTTAAAAACTAGGAAGCCACTAGTAGGTGCGGCCTGTCCGATTTGTTATGCTTCATTGTATCATCACAACCAGTAGTGGCGAATCGATGGTATATTTGTACTGAGACATGTTATCTTGCTCAAGCCTTGCATTCTTGAATGATTACAACAAAGATAAAAAGCATTTCCAAAAAGGAATTCATCCTGTTTTATTCCGCCCATTACCATGTCTAGACATAAGTCTAATGCGGAGTGCCGCTGAAGTGTTTTTTTGATGCTTTAGCCTAAAGATACGGATGAATTAGTTTTCGCCCACTAGGCTGCACATCACGGCCCAAATAATCGACTAATCTTTCTGAAGTTGAATATATGCGAAACGTTGACTGAAGAGTGCGGTGATAGCGCTCACCACAAGCGATCTTTGCATCTTGATAACAGAATGAACTGATCTGGAAACCTAGTCTTTAAAATTGGTCATATAATCCCAAAAGCAAGTTGTATGAGTTTCTGCCTAAACCAACGGAATACCTGTATTCCTCTAAGCGTAAATGTAAGCCCAATTTGAAGTTTAAAAATAATAATCACGCCTTACTGAATAGCTACCTATATCCAACCCGCGTAGGGTATTTATTTTTTGCAATAAATTGTCAAATCTTCAATTATTTTACGTTGCATCTAAAGTTTTCACTAAAAACAGCTTAATTTGCTTCATGAAACTTTTATTATTTCCATAGTAGTCAATATTAAGGGTTACATCCATTGAAATACTTCACTTTCAAGTCGGAAGTAGGACAAGCCACCTTATTTACACCCATATTGTCAATATAACGGCCTAGAGTTTACGAAGTTCTGTTTCACTCTGCAGTGGACATAAAACTGCGCTTCCTTTTTAACTTATCGTCCTCCCATTTGACGAGGAAGAACCACGAAGGAAGATACCCTTTCATCCTTCACCCAAATAATGAATCACGAGTCATGAATGCAGGGAGGAATCCCAGGAAAATAAAATTTTGTGGCAGGGGCAACAAAGTTTATGGAAAAGCGCCACAACATTTACAAATCTGTTGATTTTTAAGCCTCACTGGATAAACAAGCGCTTAAAAGGAGAGAATATTTGTCCGATTTATCGTGTCCTCCAGCACCGTTAGTGCGCTTGGAAAGCTGCCATTTGGGGATAAATCATGTGCATGGCCTTGCTTGCACAGGAACCCGATCTCCAGTGGAGTTAGCTACATTTATAACGGTATTATTTCTAGGTGGAAAATTTACCTTTTATTTAAAAACCAGAGAAGCTTGGTCCAAATATTTAACTTTTTAATTGGAATCCGAATAAAACAAATATATTCGTGTCTACCGGAGTTATTCCCGTTAGTTTTACATCTTTACCACCCTTCCTTTCCAACCCAAAACATCGCCACATTTTAAAAGCTCTCATTTTGGATATTGCACTGGAATGCTACGTCTTAGGTTTTACAAATTTTCATTGAAGTTTTCACTTATCTACCACTACTAGCCACTTCCTCGTATCGATTGTGAACGGTGATAGAAAATAAAAGCTATTGGCTTATGCTACAATCCTTCACCGAATGCCGAGTACGGAAAACAAGCGGTCATAGTTAACTCACATCCAATTCATTAGGTAAGTTTTGCGGATATTTGCAGCCACGCGGCTGAACTACTAGACGCGAATTCACCTTGGTGCTAGTGAATGCACACCGTATAAGTAACAGCGCATCAGTCGAAGGAAGAGAAGGTCGTTGCAAAAGGGATAGGCGACCAATTGTTGCAAGGGATCACAGTCCTGTGCACGTTTTGGCCATGCGTTTGATTGGTTCATACGGAGGCCGTATTTATCGAAACAACAAGGGAAAAGCAATAGAACGTATTAGGGAAGGCGGGAATATTTTGACCGAGTCGACATCTGCTGGGACCATGTACGGCAGAAAAGGCTCTTTTCTAGGTGTCACCCAGAATCTGCAAAGGAGGCTCTCCGCCACTGTAGGCCATGAAGGTGTAGGCTTGCCTGCGGTACATCGGTTTGTTTCTGACGTTACCGTTTTTTAAACTATCAAGCGTAATTTAGGCGCCTAAATTACGGAGATTAAAGCCATTAAATACCGTTTACTTGAGCTTACTGCTTGCAAAGGGGTTCTAGTATTGTTGGCTCTAGAATGTTATGTGTATTATGGTACAAATTACATTTTGTGGTGGTTTCGAGTGGCAAGGTACCGGGATAAGAGATCAAATATGGGGCTAACGTTGCTGCAGCAAAGGCTGCCGTTTATTCCTAAACGGCGCCTAGTGGTCTACATAACGTTGGTTAAATTTGGTGTTCACTAAGGAGGCTTTAAAATATCGTCTGGAGTGTCGAAAACTCAGAGAAATCCTTGTTTGAGTAAAAGGGGCCTGAATAGGGCTTTGACGAGTGACACCGCCCCCATTTTAAGCATTTCCATATTATAGTATTTCCTGCATTATTTTATGAAATCTAAAGTGATAGCCTGTACACACTTAAAAATTGTTCTCTCGTATGTAGACGAGCAATTTGCGCATAACAAAGCTGCCGGAGAAGTTGTTGTTGCGAATTTTCAGTTTCCTCACGCACCGCGAGCTCTGTACTATCGCCCGCGTTTCGAAGCAGTGGCGCCGCCTCGCCTATGATGAATCGCAGTGGTCTTGTCTCAATCTCCGGCCCGAACATGGCGGCCTCTCTGTAAGGACTAATCTGTCTCCTCTCCTTTATTGACAAATACTTATCCCCAATTTCATGGGCCAGAGTGTCAGTGATTTTGGTGGCCTCTACACCACTCCAAGCTAACACAAGGTCTCAAAAAATTTGCTTCTTACAAATTCTACAATAACTGAAGTGTCAGGCATGGTAAATCTTAAATGTGGGCTTTTTGGTTTAGAAAAACCAAAACGGATCGGTATAAATCCCACCACAATCTAACATTAAACCTAACCTAACTCCTAGTGATTTCTCCCTTGGCATCAAGGTATATCTATTTCCTCTGTCACTATATTTCGCATAGTGGCGGGTATAAACTGCTCAAGCAGTAAACAGAGAAATTTATTTAATTGCTTCACCTCAATTTATTGTTTAATAGCACTTTGATTACTTTAACAAGCAGACTCACAATGCTCAGTTCCTTCAATACAGTTCCCTATTTTCCCTGTTTAAATATCCTACTCTTGGATATCGTCTTGGAGTAATTAATGCAGTGACAGAATGTTCGATTCAACCTTTAGAATTTAAGTAAAATGACCTGATGTTTTAAAAGTTAGTAAATTACTATCCGGATTATATTCCAGCTGAAAAGCAAAAACTTACTCAAAGTAATAAAAATGTATTTCGAAAAACTTATAGGTTTGATTCTCGGCAATTAACAACTTAAGCCGTTAACGACTACCCTGTCTCATATTGACTAAGATGAGATGTTGAAGAGATTAATTTCTACGAAAGTTAATCTTTTGCGTAAATTTTGCCTAAATACAATGACAGAAAGCGGCACCGATCTTAAGGGGAAATACATTCCAATGAAGATATTGGAGTATTTTTCTTTTTTTAGGAACACCAAAACTGCATTTTCTTTCAGCATTCACCGAAATCACCACCACTTTATCGAAATCGCATAAACTGGGTGCCTTAATATGGATGAAGGTTTATGTACTTATGCGTACGCAGCAGAGTGCTCGTATTTTGACTGTTGAGACAACCGCCGTGGAGTACACGATTCTGTTAGTCAATGTCCGGTCCGTGACGAAGATTTCACTGTAACCAATGCCCAAATCTCCTGCAATCGTCCTGCGTCGTTGCTGTCAGCCATCGATCCATAAGGCAGGCATGCGCCCGCTTTGGCATTGGCAACGCAGCCGACAAGATGACTTGGCTGCCGGGAAAAAGAAAGATCTTTGACCTGTTTAGGTGTTTTAATGCATCGAAGCCGATTCTAACAGGCAAAATAATACAAATACACGGGTCAGTACAAGGGTGTCTGGGCAATTTAATGCAATTAGAATGTGAATCTCGACGTTTGAATGGAAAGGGTTCTTATAGTTATTTCACAATAGATCCAGTTAAAGCAGAATATTTTTACATCATTTGAATGGAAAATGTGAGGCAAGGTCTAAGCGCTGCATTTTATCTTATGATGGCCAGTGGCACGTGTTTGTCATAGTCACCCTGACCCTTCACCACCCTGTAGATTTGGGCTGACCTGTAGTACCAGCCCACCTGCAGCAATTGGAGTTATTCCTGATAAATTGCTGAACTACATCTGGCCATGCGCTCTGAAATATGCTAATACTTCCCAAACGTGTTCGGTGGAGGGAAATGATATGCAGACTACCGTTATTTTGTTTGTGGCTTTGAATCCGCCCAAAATAATAAAGTGCCATAAATAGTAAGTTTCAACATAATTATTAATATGTTTTTCGGCTCTAAACGGCATCTAAATCCTGTCCTTTTTGTGGAAGGGTGATGGATATTCTAGCCTTAATACATTCATTTCAAATAAGTCGAGACTTGTCAGCAACTTCTAATTGGTATATGTCACTTCTTTTCTCAATAAGTCTATCTACACATAAACAGTAGAAAGGTAAGTATAGTTTATCAGGCGCCAATTTATAAGTCAATAATGTTAAGGAATAATAATAGTAGTTCGATGACCGCATCCTCTCTACTGAAAGAATTATGGTTGTACAATGATCTATAATCCTAAAATTTGGAAGTCCTCTCGCATTAAACTAACTTATTAATTTACATTTACACGAACTTCAACGACATTGCTAGCTGAAACCGTTTTACTGCGAAGGCTATTGGCCTAAATGCTAGGATAGTATACCCACACCTCTCCAGAACTTTTACTGGAAGCGAAATTTTTTTATTTTAATGCTCTGGGTGCTGATAAAATCTTTGCTGGAACGATGGCTAAAACAAGGAACCGATCGTGACCTTCCTTAGAGCTGCACTTTATCCTAAAGGTGCCAACAGTAGAGGACTTCCTCAATCTCGTCAACCAGCGCTCGGGAGAGGGATTGCGCTACTTGGAGTTGAACAGCGACCTAATTACCATCCCGGTGCTCGAGGAGTTGGGTAACAAGTGCACTAATCTGCGCTACCTCACCCTCGACTTTAGCAACGCCATGCAACTCCACGACTTCAATGATCTCATGGCCTTTCCCGGTCTTCTCACCTACCTATGCATCTGCCTCAGCGACGTCATCTTCATGGAGGGTCTGATGCGCAAAATCTACCCCTGCCTATCCTCCCTTGAGGTCCTCCATCTCATTGGTGAGACATCAATCACTCTTTACCTATTCACGCGCTTTGATGCACTAGTTTTACAAGAAACCTTCGTTTGCTAAAATTTGGTTACCGTTTAGTAAACTAAAGGGCATATTTATCGAGATAGTTGCTGCTGAATGGCTGTCAATTAGATAGTTGTCCAAGTGGCCCTAAACCTCAGGAAATTTATTGAAGTAATTAGCGTAAGCGCGCCACGTGAATGCAAACAGTTCAGGCACACAGCTATTCTTTTGCAAAAAATTGTTGACTTTAACAATGCCTACTGACATTCCGGACAATTCCCTTTTACTGTCAAGGCCTAAAATGCACTGTCTGTTTAAGTATGGTTTGGAAAATACCGAAACTGATATTATGCTTAACTGCCATATCTCAGAGAGATTCGCAAGTGGTTTCTAAGAAAGGAGCAAAAAAACAAATAAATTAATGGTTAAACTGGGTTTGGTTCCAAAACTTCGGAAAAGGGATTAAAATGGGTGGCACTTTTACCTTAGTTCAATTGTATTGGCAGTGTCGGTCGAATGGTCAAGAGAGCTATTTTCATCCAGGCTAAAAGATGGAAGCGGATTGAGTTTATTTCTAGCTTTTTTTATTTATAATTGCTTACTTATTTTGTGATTCGTAGGTTATACCAATTTGTTATTGATAGGAGTTGGTCTGAACTTCTCTAGCTATATTAGATTATTTAGTCCGAAATATGGGGTTTTGGATCAAATATGGGAAGTGAATAAGGAAAGCAGGTAGATAAGTTTTGCGATCATTGATGAATGTAACTTTAAGAATATTTACTAGTAACCAAGATAATTATTCCACTACTGACTTGATTTTAGTGGATGAGGCTCTTAACCATTTTTCATTCAAACAAGGTTATTTGAACAAATGTGTAGGTTTTGTCGAAAGTTGGAGGAACTTCAGCAATATTTCAAGCATTGAGTCAAATTTCAAATTTTGAACTAATAAAATAGTAATTCAGCAACTTGATGCAACTATAAAACATCTGAGTGAAATGCTGCGTTAATAGTGCAAAGCATGTGCATAAAAATTATTTTCCTTCCTCTAGGTACATTTGAAAGGGCCGCTGAAGAGGAGGAGGAAATTTATGAGGTTAGTAGTTTGCATGTCTACGAGAAAAACAACTAGTTTTTTAGATTTTTCTTATGACTTTCTGAATACACGATTTGCCATAAATTAAGACAAAAAAGTACTTACCAGTGAGCGCTGAGTGAAACCATCGATTCGTGGTTCCAAGTACTAGATGACAATGCAGGCTAATTACCTAGGAGTTCTTGTAGCCCAAACGAATTACGCCAATTCAATGGAAGAAATGACAAATTGCTCAAGTACAGTGCTTGCATTTGTCAGGTCGTAGGATGAATTAGGTTTATGAGCATTGCGTTTTGGGCTAAATGCCATTCCTTCTGCAGGTGGTTAACATAAGCAAGATTCGCGCCCACACACCGAACCTGCGTGTGATCAACCTCTATGGCATCAGCTTTGTTGATGACAGCCACGTGGAGCTTCTGGCCACCAATTGCCTCCAGCTGGAATGCATTGCCCTCAACTACTGCCTCAACGTCAAGGGCGCCGCCTTCCCTCTTATCATCTCAAATTGCAAGAAACTCAAGACCCTTCTTCTTTGCCACTGCGGTCAGTCTACCATTGCACCCTTCTTATCAGTTTAAGCCTAACATCTCTTTACTTCTTCTTCCGAGTTTTTGTTGGGTATTATGCCACTGTACAAATTTCACATTCCGTAATTCAACCTATTTCATATGGGCTGTTAGATGATCTAGGGGATGCTAAGATTAAAATTTAAGACGTTTTTTTCGAAAAAATGGTTGTATTAGAAACCCTTGGAATGTATAGAGTTTCCAGTTGCTTTATTTCACCGATCCTCCATTAAGCAACCACAAAGGTTAGAGATTTTGAACAAAACTTTCTTTCTAATCGAAATCTGTTCTTGATATATTGGATCTTTTCTAGGCCTTGAGGATGAGTATATAATGCAGGTGCCCTGGGAGAACTCTCAACTCTGCGAGTTGGACATAACTTCTACCGAACTCTCGTCGGAGTGTCTGGACAGTTTCCTCTCCCGCATCCCCTCATTTACTTACTTAGCCGCGGGGCATACTGACTTCCTTAATGATAAGTTAAGAATTCATCGACATTGGGACTGCAAATTCGGTGCCATTTGTTTTTCATTTTCTTTTGTCAAGATCTCACATAGACAATATTTTACACTTTCGAGGGGAGATTTTATTGAAGGTTATTTTGTTGTAGAAAACGATGGGATATTCATATAGTTAGGCATTATTATCACTTATGTGCGAATGCTCGGCCTTTAAATGCAGTGACCTGTCGGTACCCACTTATTGTAGGTATTGAGGCACCTTGTGGACCTGCAAAAGTTCAACGACCTCATCGCCCTGGATTTGAGTTTTACACCCTCACTAAGTGAATCGACGATGATGAACTTCTTGCAGACCTATGGTTCGCAGCTTCGTGGTCTCATGCTCCAAGGAAAGCCCACGCTGGCGGAATACTTCTGGACCACTGTCATAACTTTTCTACACAATATAGAGTAAGTTTTGGTAAGCCAATTTTTAAAAGAAATTATACAATTTGTCTTGAGTATTCAGATATATTTTAGAATATGCTGCTGGAACTCAATGAGTTTTTATCATATTAAATTCAAGGTCTACCTTAAAATTTTGAGAAAAATTGTACGTAATGTAGCCAAGTGGAAACACTTTTCTCATGGTTTACGGTCTATCTACATGGGTCAAAGAGGCATGATTTTTTATCTCTGAACTCGACTTGGTTTATATTGCGTACTTTTCTTTCCCCAGAATATGTGTACTCGGATCTCCCGACGGATGGTTTTTCAAGTACAACACACGTGTACACGTTGACCAGGTTTTGCATGCCTTCGCCTTGAATTGTCCAAATTTAACAGCCCTGGAAATTCAATGGGATCCTGAGACCCTCCGATTCAGCGACAAGAGCCGCAAATTCATTGATAGGCTGAGGTGCATTGAGTTGACATGAGAGTATTCAGCATAGGTGTGCAATATCGTTACCAATTCAGCCAAGCTTGTACATTTTAGGCTGAAATGTTGGCGACTGAAGTCACTGACTCTGTGTGACGGAAAGTATTATGAGTTGGTCAAGGGCAATTTCGAGAGAGCTGAACGCCCACGGGTGGTGCGAACGAGCAATTCTTACACCACCTCCATCGTGTCTCTTTTATGTAGATACAAGGATTTACAGTTCAACTAAGTCAAATAGGCCGCAAATGGCGCTTGAAATGCCACAACTTTTCGTCTCTCCGGTCGCCCTACTTTCGGTGTTCATGACCACAAATACCACTTATGTGCCCACGTACTTTCGAACTCTGCATTCCCATCCTTTGGGTCCTCTAATCCTTTCTTCTGCCCAAACAGATGAATTATATTTCAATCTATTAATATAGCTTACCTCTCTCTTGTTTTTGTCTTATTAGAAGGATTACCCGAATGAAGCGGTCGTCTCCATTGAAAAAACCGCAAACCTCAAAAATAAACAGCCTCTGATAGGTATCAGTTGATGGGGCGTTGCAAAGGCATGAAACGTAACTCCTTGCAATGATCTATCTGAGTTACCAAGTGAGAGCATATTTCTCGCTTTGAGAGAGTACTTTAGTGTCCCAAGATTTTTCTGAGGACAAAAGGGGACATAATATCCAGGCAGAAAATATATTGTTGAAGTGCAGAAGGGCTGAGGGACCACTGGCATGGTTTGGAGGCCAGGCTACCCGGCAGAGGTACAATGATGGCGCCCCTAATTAGCCCGTTACCAAAACCGAGAGGTGAACAAACAGTTAATGTACTACAGGTGCATTATGACCAGTGAATTAGGAGTAAGCTAAAAAAACCATGTCTTGGTGTCAATACTTGTCGTAAGCTTATCGCTAAATACGGAAAATGGATACCACAGTGTTAGATTGAGACCACCTGGTTAATTATAGCTTGGCTAGAAAGCATAAAAAACAGCACTAGCAAAGGTGAAATATGAAATGAGATTGTAAGGTAATAAATTTTGCGATTAGAAGTATGGTCAGAAGCGGACCGCAGGAGCCAATAATGTCAATACGCTACCTATCCATGATTCATTGATGCGTTGGCTGAAAATGTAATCAGATGATGGAAGATTATTATTGTTTACAATATAAAATACCTAATACTCAGATGTTGAAGAGGTAATACACGGGATAAATTGTTGAATTAACAAATTAGTTTCGTCTTCAAATTGCGAGATGGATTATTCAATAAGAAGGCAATATTTTTCATTGTGTTCAGAATGAGATTTTATTTAAATGCATTTCAGTGCGTTAGCACACAATTTTCCACAATTGATTTTTGTTGTTTTAGCGCATTATTTAACTGCGTTTTGTTACAAGAGTACTACACTTTCTACAAAGTGTACTCCTGCTTTGTGGCATGGCTTTTGGCCCATGCTAATAATCTCCCTGTAGCGCCCCGAGACTTGCCTGAAGACGTCCGGGGGCCATAATATTTGTCAACCTCCCGTGTCAGCCATTACAACGTAATCAATGCTAAAAGAAAAACACCCACGTGCCACCCGTATCAGTCATCGAATTTCCATGTAACGGAGGTGGTACTTTACTGCAACATCACTGATTTATTTTGATAATTCAACTGGGTCTGTAGTTTCGTTCTATTTGGGAACTGTATTAGAAGACGGGAAAATGCGCTGGTCATTGCGCGTATCCATAACCAGACGTAGAGACCCTGGTCTAAAAGCAGATTTGTGTAAGGGAGAACGGGTATCACCACAGTTTCGTGGGGGCAAGGTTTAGTGTCTGTTGCTTCTCGCCGCTTTGTTCTTACTTCAGAGCTGCTCAGTCATATTTATCCAGTTAGTAGCGAGATGTTGGCGGTATCTCAAGTTAACATTATCAATATCTTTATGCAGGTACAGTAGGCAACTCTGTAACGAAACTTCTCCAGATGATCCATGGCTTGTTTTGATTCCGTTGTTAATAGCTCTCATACAGAACACGGGACTGGGGTGGTTGCCGAAGGTAAGCGTCCATTTCAGGCCTTCTGTTTGAAGCCGTCACCGGAACTCCTATCCGCAGCATATGCACTTCTTCCGCCCCACCAAGGTTAATCACCCAGCAGTAGGAATCAGGATGGATGTCCCTTAAAATTGAGTTCGCTTTCCACTGCCACTAGTGTAGGGCCCCGAGACTTGCCTGAAGGTGGAAGAGGTTACAAAACTCGGGTATAACATATATTTTCAACATACAGTAGGGATTGGGACAACTGGCATGGCCCAGAGACTAGCCCTTCCGGCGAAGGCACAATATCCAAGGCACAAAGTGGCCCTTTAACAAAACCGAGAGTTAAACAACTAACGTATAGCACTCCCACCCCTTCCGTACATTAGTAATGTGTATTCCTCCATGCGAATTTGAATTTCAGCGACCTCAGAGAAGACTCGGCACTCTATACCCATAAACGAGAATGCAATCTACTGAATTGTGTCATTCACGCAGTTAAGACGGTACAGGATCACAATAATGTGATTCATGCTTGGTTATGGCTTTATAAACAGGCGAAGTATTAACGATCAGCCTCAAAAGTTAATGGGAATTGCAGTTTGTCGTTCGATGTTAGTACACCAAGAAATGTAAAAGCGATAAGTACTTTATTCGTTTTTACGATATGGACAATCCAATCAATGCAACTATAGCTAAAACTATTAAAACAAAAGTGTTTATCGCATTCTTGTGAGTAGTACAAAGCGCTAATGTAATCCTCTGGATGTTTATTCCAATCTCAATTTTGGAAAGGAGCCACCTGGATGCTCTGCAGTTGCATCTTTGCCGGATGAGCTCTTCTCCGGTCCATGTCAGTAGCCTTAAAGCTCTACTGATGTCGAATATATGTAATCTGCTCCAGCATTATGTGTAATAAGTTGGTTGTTTAACTCTCGGTTTTGGTAAGGGGACACTTTTGACTTGGTTATTGTACCAAGCCGGGTGGGCTGGCATTCAGATCATGCCAGTAGCCCAAATACCTTTCCTATATCGGATATATATGTTCTGCCTGAGTATTATGTCTTCTTTAGTCTTCAGGCAGAGCAAAGTTAACCAGATCCTAAAGGACATCTATCCTGATTTTCACGGCTGGGTGATAAACCTTAGCAGGGAGGAAGAAGTGCGTTTGCTGCAGATGGGAGAGTAGTGATGATTCTAAACGGAAGGACTGAAATTGACGTCTACCTTTGGCAACTATCCCCGTCCCGTGTTCTGCAGAAAAGCTATTAACAACTGAAGCGACACTAGCCGTGGGCTATCTGAAAGTTTCGTTGCAGACTTCCCTACCGTACCCGCATAAAGTTGTTGATAAAGTGAACTCCATTTTCTTACTAGCTGAATAAAGCCCAGATAGATATAACTGGGCAGCTCCAAAGTGGGAATAACGTGGCAAGAAGGAACAGATGTGAAATCCTTTCTCCACGGAACTGTGTTGAATCTAGCCCTTCCTTACACAAATCTGTTTTTAGGCCAATATTCATACGTCAGTCTATGGACACGCATGATGATCGATGCAATTCCCCGTTCCTAAATCCAGTTTTCAAACCGGACCAAAACTCTAGATCCAGTTAATTTTCCAAAAGTTGCCAGTGACGTTACAGTCAAGCATCTCCGCAGTTGTGTAGAAATTTGCTGACTAGCATCGACTACGTTGTGATGGCTAAAGCGGGAGGTTGACCAAGGGGAGCGCCGGGGACGATGCTGAAAAGAGGAGAGGGGCTGTAGAACACGTTGGTTACTTAACTCTCGGTTCCGGTGAGGAGCCGCTTCTGACTTGGCCACTCTACCGAGTTAGGTGAACTGGTCTTCGGATCATGTCAGTGGCCCAAATACCTCCTTTATGTTGAATCCATATATTCTGCTCCAATATTAAGTCTTCTTTCGTCTTCAGGGAGGTCTGGGGACGCCACGTATATCTCGATCTCTCAACAGGTAAGTCTCGAGGATCTAAACGATTGTAACTGTTTCTGCTGCATCATTACTTGATGTATTTTAGTGGTTGGATTCATTGTAAAAATCGAATTAATGGGAAGCTTCTAAGACTAAAAGTTTAAAGTAGAGAGTTCGGAGCGAAAATGTGTATCTTGTAGTCTAGCCTTCAAAAAAACAAAGCGTTTTTTAAAATAGCAATGACAATGAAAACGAAACTAATTAAAACATTACTGGTCTCCGAAATTTAAACCAAATGCCTAATTGTAAATTTTTTGACAAAATTGGACTATTAACAGCAAAATATTCGTTAAACCATAGCGTAGAAGCTATGTAATCTAGAAATGTGCAGGTATGTTGCTATTTGTTGGAAGTTTGCCTTAATACGTTTAAACCAATATCTCGTTTAAATCATCTAAGGCGATCAGCTTTTCAAGGTTGCCTTTTGGCTTTTTTAGGTCGAATGTGGTTATTTGTCGTTATTTCCTATTTTCGCTGGATTTTTGTAATGACTATTACACTTCGGACCATAACGACCGTATCTGTATACCTTGTGCACATTTGTTTAGTCAAGGTTAATTTGCTTCGAAGCTAGCTTCCATATGCTTGAACTCGTTTTGTGAAATTTTCTTCATTGATGTTTGATGTGCGTTTTTAAAAATAAGTACTACAGTTGCTTTTGGTTGCCAAAGTCCCCCTTACTTTAGACTTTAGTGGGTATGCGTTAATATCGCTGTCTTGCATAAATTAAGATCTGTTGGATTTCACTTTAAGGTATTTATGCACCTATGTTCCCGGGATTCGGTGAATCATCCAAGGAAGTTCCATTTTTCAAATCATGTTTTGGGCACATTAAACCAACTTGGTAAGCTTTTCTATGAGTGTTTGATTTCGTTTGAATATTATTTGGTGGTGATTGAAAAGTCAGGTGTTTCATACAATGCACTCATATTGGCCTTTTTGAATTAGTTAACAGGATATTCTTAGCGTATTTTCTGCATACATTGGTGATAAGTTAATTGTTAGGCAAGTTGTTTTGCAATTCACAGTGCTTGGCACTTTCTGTCTATTCTGTTTAGGATAGTTTTGCTGGATTCTCGTCCATATCACAGCATACCAGATTCTACCTTCTGTGTACATGGTTTTCGGGGTGATTCATTGGCTGAAAATAAATAATTTTGTGATGAAATTCAATAACGAGTAGTCGATTCGGTTGTTTTGCACATGGATTCATTTTACTTTAGTAATTCTTACTTTCATTCCAGTTTTTGTGCGATTTCGATTGTCTACATTATCTGTGCCGGGTTGGTGCAGCTCCAGATATATTCTTCCATTCAATCCAACATCTCAAGTGATCTCTGGTTTGTGCGACTTGCATCCATTCTGCTTTGCTATGCTCTCACTTATACGCCGATATGGATCCTTAGGCGTCTTGCACAGCCTCTCCTACGGCAATGGGAGACTGAGACAGGTAGGCAGCAATAGTAACACCGACTAGTCTCTTATTTTCTCTTGTCCTCTAGCAAAGTCCCCTCTACTCCCCTGTAGGCAATTTGGCATCGGTATGTCAACGCTGCCTTACGATCTGCTTCTTCCAACACTTGCCTTACGATCGCCTCCTCGATCCTCCCCCGATAACTCCACCTCCGTCACCCTGGCGCACCCCTTTCGTTCGCGCTTCCGACGCGCTCGCGGTCTTCGCCAAGCAGCATCGCTGGTTGGGGCTCGTGGGGTGTACTCTTGGTCTCAACTTCGCCTACGTTCTCTGGGGCGTTTTACAGGTGCGACTTGAGACTCCGCTATTCCCTCAACGTCTTTTAAATTTATCTTTTTTGAGAGGGAGGCTTCGTAAGCTCCGGCACATCCAATTAAGCTTCTTGGTGATGTGATTCATGATAATTGGATGCTTGTAACTATGAGATCCACTTTTAAAACTACTTTTAATATTGTGGAACCCACTTGCTAGTTTTATTGTACCTTATTCAGTTGGATCAGAATAGTCTCACTCACTCAGCAACTGTGAACTCTTTAAAATGTTATTTGGTTTACTGGATCATCTACACGTCACTGCATGAGGACATCTTGTCCTCAGTGCAGGAGTGGGTTATGACACAGCCATGCTCCAGTAAATAGTACGGTGCTTTTAAACCGTCTTGAATTTCTGCATTTACAATTGCAGACTGAAGAACATCACGCCTTATTCTCTACATGGTGGCGCTCTATTTTTGTGCTAAGCGTTTACACTTCACTTAAAGCGTCCATTAAACTTGCCGTTGTATTTCTCATGACTCACTTTTTCTTGTAATACACTACCTCGTACCATGAATTTTCCTATTTCCATTTTCTTGATTGGTCCCTCAGACATGTAGGATTCAAATAGTGATTTTTAAGAAGAAAAGCTAAATTTACCGCTTTTGGTTTGCAGTTTCCTTGGTTCAGTGATGGTGTCGATTGGCTACGGAAACATTACCTTGATGTTCAAGTCGCATTTCTACGGAGGATGGTTGAATATAGAACAAATAATCCACCTATTTGAATGCATTCGGGCTGTTTGTGGCCTTTCTCACACCTACTTCTTTAATCGGTCCCTGACTCAGGTCATTATTACAAGCCCTCACCCCGTCCAAATGCTTTAATGCTGTATCCTTAACTCAAAATCTGTGCGGCAAAATCGACAAATTGTTGATTTTATCACCGAACTATAGTGTGCACGCACGCACAGCTGGGTATAATTGTTTATGACCACTGATAGCCTTGAAACCGTCGTACTGTCACTCTAGTGGTAGGTAAATATGAGCTTTTTTGAATACCCCCAAGGGGTCAAAGTTTTGTTTCCTTGTATTCACCAGTGAGCAAATGGGGTAGCACCTCATCTTTTCATCTGAGCTATCTTAGGGAAACAAGCTGCCAATTTTATCACCCTCAAACAAACGACTGGTTGTGAATGTAAGGTGATTACGAGCCTGTCATTTTCGTGATTAGTGAGTGATTGTGGTCACCATTGCTTTCTTCCACCTGCCTTGCCACTTTCACATGCCATCATTCATTCCGATCTAGCCATATTTAAAACATTCTCAGTGTCAATTGGAAGACTATCTTTCACTACACATCTAGCTCAGTGAGGCCAATTTCAAGTGAATGATCATTCAGTTGGATACATGTTTAAAGTACTGTCTGACATTTTGCTTCCTCATTTTGAAAGTCATTATCACCTAAGTAGAAGTTTTTCTGGGCCTCAAATGCGAGAGAGTAATGCAGCTCTGAACTTCATTAATAACACGCCAAGGGTGTATTCCAACGCCCCAGAAATGTTGATTCAAAAATTGCTAAACCTGTTAAATGTTAGCTATTTAGGGGGGTTATTGCTTTAATAAACTTCGCCCACACAGGAGAAGATAATGACCAGCAGTTACGGAGGGAGACGCTTTCGGGAGCCACAGTTCCTTGTCTTCTGTAACCGCGTAGGCGCCCTCATCATGGCATCTGTCTGCATCCACCTCATAGGACCTCGACGGTTGGAGGCAGCGGTGGCGGCTGCAGACGGACAGGGTGGGGCACCACTCTCCTGCTACGCCAATCCTGCACTCAGCAACATTCTCTCCAGTTGGTGCCAGTATGAGGCCCTCCTCTTCATCACTTTTCCTGTCCAAGTTAGTCCTTCCCCCCTCTCCCCTACATTTTGCTACTGAAAATCTGATCTGCCAAAGCGCCTTTTTTCGGCGGACTATATGTCTAGCTTTCTTAACCGAAACACATCTAAATTTGCATACAAATTGGTTTCCTTATGTGTGGCTTGACACCCCTACCTTTCATATCAAAGGGGTGTTTTCATTTTAGAAAAAAATACCGACGTCAGACGGTGTCAATGTCATCGATTAGCCCTTTAAGAAAAATTTTGTTCGCTTTTGACCGTCTAATTTTAGCTGTCTCGCTAGCCTCGATACTTGGATGACTTCTTAGTCAATATTCAAATAGGAATCAGAAAACGTCACTAAATCACTTTTAGTACTTACTTTTATTCAGGTCCTTTCAAAGTCTTGTAAGACGATTCCTGTAATGCTGATGAGTAAGATTCTCTACGGTCGTTCCTACAAGGCCCAGGAATACATCACAACCGGTACGTTTTCGTAAGAACTTTTAAACATGCGCTGTCGTTCTTGTACTTTCTGTTAGGAAATGCCCTCAACTAATCCTAGCTGTTATTTAGTTTTTGAAAGATGCTACCTCAAACACCATTTCCATGCTTAATAAGGAACTCTACAAAATCTGGTAAGATTTTTTAATCCAGAAATCCATCACAGTAATTTTGTTGACTCCTAGCACTTGTCAGCATCGGTGTAAGCGTATTTATCCTATCATCGCCACCGGAGCATAGTGGGAGGGCTGCAGTAAATTCGGTTAGTGGGCTTGTCCTCATCTGTGGCTACATCGTTCTGGACTCCTACACATCCACATTCCAAGACAATCTCTTTCGTATTTACAAAATTTCACCTCTCCAGGTATACTACCTCTTTCATCACCTAGTGTTTTCAGGATCACAGTCGGCATACGATGATCGTACGTGTGTCCGTTTGGTATTCTAGATGATGCGGGGCGTATGCACTTGGGCGGTGCTATTCACCGTCACGCCACTGTTGGCGGACGGGACGCTGACCTCCTCGCTGCGGTTTGCGTGGGACCAGCCCCAGTTCGCTCTCGACGTAGTGGGCTCCGCAGTGTGCTCCGGCTTCGGGCAGATAATGATTTTCATTACCATAGCCGAGTTTGGAGCCGTCACCTTCTCTATTATCATGACAATCCGACAGTGTCTGTCCATCCTCGTTTCTTGCCTCCTCTTCACCCATCCCATAAATGCGGTCGGCGCCCTGGGCCTGCTAATCACCTTTGGTGCAGTCTTCTTTCGCATTGTCTGTAAAGGGCTGACCCCCACACGGCAGGCTTAGCCTGCTAGGAAGGATGACTTTTATATCTTTATCGACAGGTTTTTTTGTATTATTTAATAAATTTCGTATCTGGTTTTATCATCCATGTGATAAATTTCCACGGTGACTCCCAATGGCTGCCCTTGTGGTGCCTTGTACTGGTCAGTGTAGAGGCAGCTCCAACCACCAAATCCGTCTGATGAATACTTGCCACTAAAAATCGACGATAGTGTGTGGTTGAAAGTCGCTTGACGACGATGGCCTGTAGAGTAATTGCCCAAAAGCAAGGTAATTCGTCTGATCCAAATCACTGGGTGATTGAAATATCTGAAGCAAATCAGGAAGCTTACGTCCTACTTTGGTCAATTCCACTATTGGTCATTCGGCCAATCAAACCTGGTCATCACATCTAAATTATGCAGTCACAGATATTTCTTAAGCTACGGAAATGTCACATTTGAAGTGGCGTACGGTTTCATTTCTGCTTTCTATGAAAGCTTTCTACTAATAGCGACAGCCATCAGGATAAAAAGGTTTCATGTTCGGCGCGAACTGTGGAGAGTGTCTCTCAGGCAAAGGCAGTTTATTATGGAAAGTTTTACGAACTAAAACTCAGGACGAGCCAAGGAAAGGCTTGATTGCTACCTAATAGCATTCGGATGGTCCATAATTACCTAGTCCAACTGGTGTTCGAAGTGCCAATTCGGGGACGATGCAAAGGTGCGGCACATAACCCAAAATCCAAATACATTGAACAGGTTTGCGCTCCCCCCCCCCCCCTTAAAAAAAGCATACTGTTGATAAAAGTGGTTATTCCGAGCACAAACTCAGAAGAGCGCACTTAAACATTGACATATTAATTGTCACAAATTTAACGAAAATTTACTCGTTAGGAAGTAGTGCATTTTAAGCAATGAAATGTGTCATACTTTCTTAGCTTAAAATGCCAGAAGTTATGTGACCTTGCATTCCGTAGGCATTAATCGACCAGCAAGTTCACTTGGAATAGGAGTCGTTTTTGAACACATGTATTGACTTGCGTGCTTTAGGTTCTAGTGTGCTTTCATGAGTGATGGTTGGATTTGACGTATCCAGGTATCAGAATGTATCAAACTCTGATTTTTTGGTTGCCGGCTGTATCAGTGGCTTTTGTGGCCGAGCATGTGTTCAGCCACTCGATGTTGTTAAAGTCAGATTTCAGGTATAGCACTACTTTTAATGCCGAATTTGCTCTCGCACAGCTGCAAGTCGAACCGATTTCGGCAATGCAAGCGTCTGCTAAATATCGAAGTGTCTTTCAAGCCATTCGGTGTATTTTAAAGGAGGAAGGATTCGGTGCCTTTTGGAAAGGACACCTTTCCTCCCAAATCCTTGCTGTTTCCTATTCGGGTGTTCAGTTTACCTCTTTTGAGCTGTATACGAGGTGGTGTGCTCATTTACTGCCTGCACCCAATGAAAATGGTGGAACTCACCAGACAGTTGCATCTGCCGTGAATTTTACCTGTGGCTGCCTTGCTGGAGTAACTTCAGCAACCTGTACGCAACCCTTGGATGTGTTAAAAACTCGTTTTATTGCCCAGGGAGAGCCTCGTGTATATAAGTGAGTTGTTTGCTTCATCCACTCTAATATTCTTCCCAATATTTGGGCTATTTCCTTTTAGCAATCTGCGTGAGGCGATTACTACTATAGCAAGGAAGGAAGGTTTTCGTGGCTTTTTTCGTGGTCTTAGTCCGTCAATGCTCTTGACAGCTCCTCAGACAGGTTTAAACTTTGCAGTTTACAAGCTCACGATTTATCTTATTAATCTTTGGGAGACGCGTGTTCTCGGGCGCCTTCCATCCGACCCTGCCAATGCTAGTAAGTCGTATCTTAATTGTGAATGCATTTCTGTTTCGCACATTGGAACAAATTTTGTTTTGCAGTTGAACTTCATGTACGTTCACTAGTTTGGAATTACAATTAGTCTATTGTAGCGATACACCTTTGAGTTTCTTTTGGACATTATAGCCTGAACGTTTTAGATGCATGTCTGGTTTGGTACGCAGTTGTGACTGTCTCATGGTCCTACAAACGCCCGCATAGTTAAGACAGATTGAATAGAAGGTCAGGAATGCGGTGCATACAAGCACACGTTTCAGCGAGGACTCTGCTTTGACTCATGTGGAAACGCATCTAGTTAGGCTCGCCAAGAGCTCCGTCTGGAAATGATGTGGAATCGCAGCTACCGTTGCACTCATTTTCTCATCTTTGGTACTTCTGTTGAACTCCTCCAGGAATTCATGTGCTACACACTCGTCTGATGGCTGTTTCAAAATTTGCTTAACGGGCCAACATTCAGAATCTTATTAATTTTAATGGACCTGCACTTCACTTTATCTGACTATGCAAACTGATATTACAAAGAGCGAGATCATCTAGTATCCTGCAAATATAAGCTTTCGTGAACGTTTAATATGGTCGTTTTATTGTGACGATTATGTGACACAATGGGCTTCAAGTAACTATTAAAATGAGCTTTGGTTTCAGGCCTTGTCCAAAGCGTTTTTGCTGGTGCGTTCGCGGGAATGGTCTCAAAATGCATGGTCTATCCAATGGATGTCGCTAAAAAGCGTCTTCAAGTACAAGTAAGTCTTCTACTGCTTCTCTGCTGGCCTAGCCATTGCCTTCACAACGTGACACATGTGTCCCCCATAGAATTCGTTTACTGCACTTGCGTTGAAATGTAGGATTCAAACCGATGTGAGGACTCCGCGTCATTTATTGAATTATATGTATTTTATCTTTTACACGCTCAGGGATGGTTGTTTCGATCGTTTAAACATTTCTAACCGTCGTATATTCGCTTCCATTCACTAGCTGGGAATTAATTAAGCGTGTTTATTTTGCTTCTAAAAAGGACTGACTTTGTGGTTGTCAACTTTTTCCTCCGAGCACGTTCTTCTGATTTACTTTCCTCATTTTCAATTCATGGTAATTTAATGATTAAACGCGCTTTCAAAAATTATTAAGTACCGTTGCATTTATGTGATAGATGTAAAAGTGGGAGATATCCCCTTTACAATTAGAAGAGTTGCTTCAATTTTGGTGACTTAAACTTTTGTCTGAAACTGTTTTGTCGATCATGTGTTGCTCTTTAGCTGGGTGGTATCCTCCGCTTTTTACTTTCAAGGCGCTTTTAATGCGTCTTCCGCTCGCTTTTGTCGTCGTCGTTGTCTGAACATTTTGCACTCGGAGCTCTTAATCACTTGTGCGGTGTTTATGCTAAGCATAGAGGATGCACAACTTTACGTGGCAAATGTGACAGGCCTCGAGCCAGTGTCGAAATAATCCGTCGCGTTTTATGGTCATTTTTTGCGATAGCAACCTCTGTTAATTATCCCTCGATTGCACTTTTGTGGGCATTCATCAGTGACATTGGGTATCTTTTCTACTGTCTCCCAGATTTATCTAAAATGTATTTAAATTTTCTTGGTTCGTGTGTATGACCTATTTTCTGAAGGCCTGCATTGTATTAAGATGATGATGTACTTGTCCATTTTAGTGGCACTTGTCTAGTGTATTAGCTTGGATGTGGGTTTATTAACTCTACTTTCTGTGCCATTTGAGACCGGAGCATCCGGTGCAGTTACAGGGAACTTAAAGTGATACTGTAGCACGCGTTTTTCTCCTTTTGACTGTTACCTCTTTTACTTTCGGCGAAGTAAAGCTTTCCTGTTCATCAGTAACCTCAAGCGCCGCTGTGTGGTGCATAGTATCCAGGTTAACACTAGTTTATGCAACCAACGCATTGATACACCTTCCTTATCCAAACATAATACCGCACTTTTGATTTAGCACTTTGTGGAATTTTTAATAGCTGTAGTTAGACTTTATATAATCTTGCTTTGCGCTATAAGGGAGTTTTGAATGTTAGTAGTGTTATTTTGCCAATTGGTAATGGCCATTATTTTTATTGCAACCCTTGAAAACGGAATAACTTAGTGATCAGCCTCTAGGTCACTGCATATAATGTATAAGTACTGCTACAAACTTCCTGTAATGTAAAGAAAGTGTATGTAGTAAACCAATAACGCGTTGGAAAGTAGTAGTTTATAAACGAATGATTCTGCATTGGAACACAAATATTCTTTCAAAAGATCTTATTCGTGCCTAGGGTTTTGTGGCTATATATGCATACGTCATTCTCTAGATACGAACATTTCCCTTCTATGAAAATGTGAGACTGCTATTCCTGAAACCAAATACTACCCCAAGGGTAACTCGAGGTTTTCACCTTTACAATTTCTCGGTGGATGCTAATCTTGTCAAATCTTTCGAGGAACTTCCAATGTTTTAAAGATATTTGTAATTTCTGTACAACGCTTCACTAACATTTAGGCTTATGCCAAAACCAGAGATAAAACGTTATTTTCAATAGTCATGGTTATTTCAAAAGCCAGCTAGCAAATATTGTAGTAGATTGTGGGCAAAATAGAGTGGGAGGTATTGCTACATCAATCAGCGGTTTTAAGTCTTCCTGCGAATCCGTCTAGGCAATTTTTTGACTGTGAGTGTAAAGGTACGTATAACGGGCAGAAATATCGCCATTTTTCGACCAATTTAGCTGCGCATTCTGCGCTATTTTAACCTTTTTCGGGCACTTTTTTTGAAATCCTATAACTATGGTGAGGTCAGCAAATATGGTATCACTTTGGTCGGCCATCGACATATTATTTTCTCTGTTTAAATACCCTAGTACTAAAAACTAGGTCCCGTTTGTGTACGACGGACTCTATAGGGCTAATATTCTGACACGCAATGAAGTTAGCACTGGTCCCTGGGAAATGGGGTTTGCGCCTATCTATACCCTCTCAAGTAGCGCCAAAACTAGAATTTTCTGCTTGGCAGGGCTTTGAGGAGGCGCGAAATCGCTTTGGCTCTCCGTTGGTTGTCCGAGGACTGCGTGACTGCATTGTGAAGACGTGGCGCATTGAGGGATTGGCAGGTCTCTTCAAAGGTCTCCAGCCTTCCATCTTCAAGGCTTGTCTCTCCATGGGTTGCCGATTCGCCGTCTACGAGAAGATCTGCAACTTCCTCTCTTACAGGAACACCTCCAGAGCTGCCACTGCTAAAATTACTCAGTAATCTTTTTTTTACCTGCCCCGTCGTTCATGTCTGCCCCTCACCCAAGACACTTATCGTAGATCTAAGTTTGTATATTCCAGCCTATGCCCCTCTTCCCTCTCACTACCTCCTTTGTATGCTATCATGAGATGCCTATTTTATCGACCCTCCCTTCACTTTGCTCTGCTTCAAAACATCGGGGTAGATATGTCGATTGTCAGTCAATGAGATGCCAATTGTTTGCGTTCAAACAAAGTCTTAAAGGGAAGCGGTAGTTTATATCCTAAATTACGCAGCCCGATGCTAATTCTGATTGGTTAATGGCTACGCACTCGCAGACCAATCAGTGTGCGTGGGTTATGTCGCTGATGCTGTAACTCTGGTTTCGGTAATATCACGCCCCTAGCTTGCGATTGAGTGCTCACCGTGCAAGGCATTGTGCGTTGTGTTAAATTGGCTTATTAAAACTACTGATGGACGATTGGCAGGGGCCCTCGTTGAGTTAATTACAGACACTTTGAAGTAGAATTTGTTTACGAAACGGTTGAGGATACAGTGTGGGGTGGCGGCTATTTGTGCTTTGGTCAGGGCGTGTGTGTGTGTGTGTGCATGTGTGTGTGTGTGTATGTGTGTGTGTGTTTACGGGTTAAACGGCAAGAGGCAAATGTGTACAATCGATGATTAGACAAGTTAGCTGAGCAATGGAAACAGGCGGGGCCCGAAGGTTATTCAGCCACCTTGACTCAGCGTGGTTGCCGATTCGATGTACTTTTGCGCTTCCGAACTAGGGCCAACTTCTTAAATATAACCGGGGGAAGGGCATTTGCATATCTAATTTCAGTTTATGAGAAGTTAATAACCATGCTTTTCTCACCATGAATAATATAATCAGGAGTAAACGCAGAACGGTGGAGCGCCAATGGCAGTGATCATCACACACTTTGCCATTTGAACAATTATAATGAGCTATTTGGGTCGAAGCATAAATCAACTTGCGAAACCGTATGTGCGACTGGGGGAGCTACCGTCCCATAAATACTAGTAGCTCCGGTTTCCCCGTAATTGGGACGAAAGATCGAGTGCGTTAAACCATATAACACATGGAGCAAATGGTCAAGTCACTCCGAACTCAATGGTCAGCCGTTCCAGTAAGTGGAAAGCAGGAATTCCTGTAGGCTATTTTTCTCCACCTTGTGCCATCAGAGACCCAATTTTATCATTTATATGCAATTTATGAGTTTATGTCTCACGGTGTGTTCGACTCGCAAAACTTCAACCACGTCGGTTCCTTACAAAGCTTTATCCTTTCTTGAATGGATACCTGCGGCTCTTTTGAATTTTGTTTTAACTACAGTGATACGCTGAAAAATGATAATCAAGCAGCTTTGTGTGGTCCTTTATGGTAACCATGGGGAAATATAAGAAGTTTTCAAAATACCTTGCCTGCTAAAATAAGCGCCATTGTAGTCTATCGTTATTTAGTGATTTGATTCTTTTTAACCGTATGTTTTACCACAGGTACTTCAGTTTTCCCAGGTTACGGACTAGAGACAAAAGTCTTGCCTCCACGAGTAAAGTCTAGCATTAACCACTTTGGTTTCTGTCTCACTTTGGTTCCTCAACTATCTATTCGATTCCACACATGAGTGGCTAATACTATGAAGAGATGATAGCCTTCATTTGGCAGGTATCGATGGGGCAAACTGAGTTGTACAGAGGATCGCTTATGGTAGCTGATGCTATGTTTGCACGCTCAATGAACGCTGAAGCACAAGTCACTTCTTTCCGTGGTTCAGTCCGTCAATCAGACAAGCAAGCAGAAGTCTATGATATCGAGTGCGCCTTTTAAACGTTTAAGAAGGAACCTTCCAAAGACTGTTTAAAATTTCCAAATTTTTTTAGGTACGATTTAGTGTTTAGCAGACCCATTCTTCAGGCCTAATGATCACTTGTTCGCATTTGCTGTAAAGGCATCTGGCGTTAAATTAACTTAAGAATTACTGCAGGGTGAGACGTAGGAACATCAAATGGCCAGCAAAATTATTTTTATATTTAAAATCAAGTCGAGGACGTTGATTTTTAAGCATATTTTAAGTTTTGGCCGTGGGTTTTTAAAGTTGAGTTTTTTGTTTTACATAGCGGGTAAGGATGTGGCCGATTTAAACAGCAGCGGCAACCGTATTAAGAGGCGTTTCAGAGCCATGAAGTGTTCCCAATGCGGTGGGTGCAGGTTTGATGAGGACCCTGCAAGAGGTGACATGGTATGTGTCGAATGTGGTGCAGTAGAAAGCGAAAATGCCGTTACATCATCTGTTGAATACATTGAGAACCCTGGTGGGACAACCACAGCCCTTGGCAACTTTGTTTCTTCTGAAAGTACGCTCTTCCACTATCGGTGCTTTTCCCTTTTTACATGTGTGCTTAAGTCTAACACAGCTCTCAAGTGGACTGTTTCTTGGTTATTTTCCTCCTTTCTATAGATGCAAGCCTTTCATGGTTTATGGATCAAGTCGCTTAAAATACGCCATTTTGACATATATAGCCGTTATTTTACGTTGGATTGGCATAGTTATTTGTTCTGTAAAGTCACAGAATTCCGATTCCTGAAACGTCTATACCATTAAAATTCTACATCCCTTTTTTCGAATCCCATATAGGCCAGATGCCGGGTTTTCGTGAATCGCGCTACATCACAGAACAAAAAGGTATCTGCCGACACTTTAGTCTCTTTGAGTTGGCGGTGTAGCAGAAAGCCCCAATTTCATTGTATATTTCAGCTCGGAAGCGTATCGAAACGATCTGCGGTCAACTTCGTCTGGGTGCTGATGTTGCCGTCTCTGCATTCCGATATTATCAAAGTGCCCTTTTTCGTGGATTTACTCGTGGCCGGAGTTCTTTGCAGTTGGCGGCCGCATGCATTTACGTTGCAGCCAGGCAACTTCGAGTCAACTTGATGCTTCTTGATCTTAGCGATGCCGTTGCAATCAATGTCTATCACGTGGGACGCACGTACATAGACTTAAAGCGTCGTCTTAATCTTTCCCTTCCTGAAGTAGGTGGGTATCTCTTCCTTTATATCATAGTTCAGCGTATTCTGCTGAATAGCATATTGTTTTATTGTTCTACTCAGATCCTTGCTTGTTTGTGGAACGTTTCGCAAGTCAGTTGGATTTTGAAGAGAAGACCGCTATCGTAGCCACAACAGCAATGCGGTTGCTGCAGCGTATGAAAAAGGACTGGATTAGCACTGGTCGACGACCAAGCGGACTTGCAGCTGCATCACTTCTTGTTGCCGCCAGAATTCACGAATTCAATAGAACGGAGGAAGATGTCGCCAAGGTTGGTGAGTATTGCGCAACTTTTGCATATTCGAAACTCAAATTGAAATGTAATCTCTTCAAAAAACCCTTCTCTAGCGCGTATAAGCCAAATGACTGCGAGAAAGCGATTAATTGAGTTCAGTAAAACTCCAAGTTCGGGGCTAAGTATCGATGCCTTCTTCACTGTTGATTATGATGAAGAACAAGACCCTCCTTGCTTTGGACAGCCGACACAAAGGAGACGATTTGTAAGTTAAATCAATCACACCAAACTTGCACATTCTGTATCCTCTCGTATGATTCGTATCTTGTCGATTAAGGATCTCAAAGACCTCGATATGGAACAAGTTTCAGCTGAGATAAAGGAACTCGGCCGTCGGATCGATCAAGAACTTGATGAACTCGCTAATAAACGGAGAGTGAGCGTTGCTATTAACGACATTGGTAAGCAATTGTCGGTTGACTATTTTGACGCGGAACAATTGGAACTACTGTCCCTACCACTGCAGCAACTTTATTTTTTAAACAAAACATCGAATTGATTTAATGTGCTCTTTGTAAAAGCGTATTAACTAGCTTATCATATGTTGTCTTTTCAATTAGAGGTTAGTAAGATTTTAATCGTTTTTCCCCGGCTGAAACTATTGCACTTAGGCCTTTGTTGTACTAACATTACTCATGCAGCTGTCTCATACCTAAAACGGCTGAATAGATTTACACTAATCACTTATGTTCTCTCCCAGGCTTGGCCAACTCGAAGGGCCTCCGGCATCTGGTGGAGTCGGACAGTCTATTAGTTAAAGACGATGAAGTAGTAGGGGAGAGGGAAGAGGACGAAGGGGCTGGTGCAGCAGTGGAGGTAGTGGCAGAGGGACTATCCTCGCCGCCATATCTGTCAGCAGCAACGTGTGGTCGCTCCTCACGCCAGGTGCTGCGCGAAGTTCTCGATGGAGTGGTGGATCCCGAGATCCTCGACTCCTGTGTGGAGGACCTTGAGCTTATCACCGCACACTCGGGGGCCAAACTGTGTGAATTGGTACGCGCCACTCACCAGTGGCGCAATGCTCGAGACGCCGCCGAGGCTGCTGCCGCCACCACCGATATCGCTGCCAAGCGCCTTGATGCCTCGACCTCCCAGTCCTCACTATCCACCCTCATCCCAACCGAAGGTACGTCTAGTTTCACTTTCCGCTGCCTTGCACACTGTCTTTCCCTAAGGGAAAATCCATTGTAGCTGCCTGATTTGAGAAAAAACGCGGCGTCAGGTGGATTCCAAGCATTAATCAATAGTTCTATTCGGTTCCTCGGATAAGTAGAGCGGTTGATACATTAAAATACTTGTGATGTAGAATACACTTGTTTCTATGCCAACAGTTTTACTCGAAGCGCTACACTTCGAGTAAGACTTCTCAAATTCGTTTGAAGTAATCCATGGGAAAACTTACCCATTGATTTTGCATTTTTATGCTCTCACGATATCTTTAAATTTACACTCTGTGTCTGCGAATCTGCATGGGATGTTTTGAAGTCTGTAAACTTGCTGTCGTTGTTGATGAAATTTTGGGTTATTTGAGGTATGTGCACATAAGCGCCAAGCGCAGTGGTTTTTAAAGGAAAATACAATTCACATGGTTATGCCAGTTGAGTTGCCTTTTTTTTTCTTAGAAAATGGTATTCAAATCTATGGAGCTTCTGCCAAGAAGGGGTTCGTTTGGATTTTAAATTCATTAAAACCTAATCTCTATAGGGGTTGAGTCACTAACTAGTGGTCATTATGACATCAAGCCATTTCTTTTTGACTGTGTTTACACAAAGGAAACTCGCTTGGTGCCTACCATTGTCCAGATTTATTGTTCTTTCAAATCTTATCAGTTTTTCAGGAGGTGGAATTTATAGTCAATAACGCAAATTTTAACAAAGGACATTCAAAACTGATCTAAGTATGCTTGCGCAGAAGAAAAAGCTGTCTGATAATCGTAAAAACTCAATGTTTTCATACAGCTTCACCTCACCACCTGGCGTGCTTCACGAGGTTACCATTCGCTTTGGCTACGCTTAAGATGGTGGAAGTCGCCCGATCACTTTCTCAACACTCTTAAACCTGCGTATTTCTAACCCGGCTTTCGTGTTCCTGTACCTAGTTGTAACTTAGTTGCATTAGTCTGAATAATTCAGCTTTTGGGAGAGGATTTTGCTGTACGGCCACTTCCTGACACTTTCAAAAGAAGGTATGGATACTCAACCATAGGGCCAAGTATAGCTTTTCCCATAGTGATCGGTGGTTGAGATGACCTCACTTGTAACGCACAACATTTCACAGTTTCTACCACATTCTGTGTGAAAAAAATAATGTGATAGGAGTAGACTATTCTAATTTATTCGTTTCGTTGATTGGATGTTACTATGGTCCATCTTCCCAATAACTCGGTGCAATTTGTGTGCTCCTTCTTGGGGAAAACCGATTAAATTTTAATTTCAGACTCCCTCAAACTCCCGCATTTTCTCACTCCTCTCGAATCTGCACAGTCCGCCAACGAAACTCATAGTAAGTCACTCCTCTTATCCGATGATCCATTTGGCGCTCTGGTCGAACTATTAATATTACTTAGCTTTCTATTCATAGTTGGATCGGTCTGAATGTCCTTTTGAATTGTATTGTGCAGCTTGACGGTTGCATTGGAATTCATCCAATAATCACTTCAAAGTTACTTTCGCAATATTTCTGGCGTTTATTTGCAGAAGACTACAATATGGAGTGTTTGTGTGATTAATCTGATAAAAGTCGACAATATGATGGTAGCTGATCAGGGTTTGTCTGATTTATCCTCATCTCATCACTGAGAGCATCCAGATGGGTTTGCATTGCGACTTATGAATTTCTAAGTAGTAAATCCACTCGATGCTTTATAAATATATCTAAAACTCTGGTTCAGCTTAAACATAATTAGGCATTAAGTTCACAGCAAATTGAGTTATCTTTTTCAAACCGTCATAGCGATGAGAAACGAGTCCTGTGCTGCATATCAACGTTCTTCAATATGACACTAGCAGCATGGAATCGAATCAAAGATGGTTGAAACCCATTTGCTTGAATTTCAACTGTGCATAGGTGTCACTTGTTAATGGTGAAGCGTGTCTGATTTGAAGTTCGATTTAACTGGCCATTGATAATGTTTTTGTTTTAGATGACTCTACAGAGAAAAACGAGGAAAGAGGTAGTGACCATTCGTTCTGTTGAAGTTCGACTCTATCCACAATTTCATGCATGTCAAATATACTATTTGTGTTTGCTGTAGGTTACAGCATTGATCTCAGTGACATAGACGAGGAGGAGCTGAATCGGGCAAGTTAACTTGCGCTAATTCCTACTTTATTTTATGCTGATTATGATCGCACGAATTTTACAATTGTTTACTAAGTGTGATAGCTGTATGTGCTTCCGGTCTGTTATTCCTTTTTGTCTTTCAGGCATTGTCACATGTACATTCGACCTCATGTCATATTTATTTCAGACGCCACTTAACAATACCATGCATTATTTAATGATAGCACAGTTAATAATGTTTCGTCCGAACACAAACAATAATTCTCCAGATAATTCCTATTAACTGGGTTCGATGGCACCACTCAAATGTGAATGCCTATTCAATATACAAACATCTACGGGGCTTATTAAAGACTATTTAATTTCCGGAAGAAATAGGTCTTGAATCACGACCGAGAAAAGGGCACACTTCATGGTAATTCTAAACTCTTAAACAGACTTTTATTTATGTAAATTCAGACTTCGAGACAGAATTTACCAACCTGTTTCAATTATCAATCTGTCAGGTTAGCCTTTGTCGGTCTCAGATGCCACCTACCCTAGTAATAGTTTATTACACTGCCTGGCCAAAAATCCCAGTGTTCAAATGATGTGTATATTTAGCTTATTTTGCGGTTATTCAGAATTAGCGACAATTATGCCTTGAATTTTAACAATCATCTACACTCTCCTCAATTTGCTTTTCATTTTATCAAGTCTCCATTTATTAAACGTTTTTCAGGAGTATTTCCTAACCCCTCGGGAGGTTATGGTGAAGGCAACCTTGTGGTTCCGTGAAAACGCACCCTTCTTGGAAGAACAAAGGCGTATGTTCCCCTTTTCACTCCTCAGTTTGCGTTGCCTTTCCTACAAACTGCACCCGGATAACCAAATCCCGGTTTTTGATTGCATCACAAGTTTTGCGTATCCAAATTATGTGTTCCGTCTCTTTATTTTAGGGAAAAAGGCCGAAAAACGACGGCTTAAAGAGGAAATGGCCAAGCGACCCAAACGTGTAAGTCCACTTTCTCGTCATTCCTGATCTGTCTAAGAGCAAAAACTTCAGTTTGTGTAAGTGATGAATTTACTTCGATCATTTTTACTATTAAGGAGAAGAATTGTTCGCATTGTAGTGATACAAAATACTTCAGCCATGAACATTTGAAAAAGTAGGAGCTCAAGCTGAATTGAAGTGATTAAACGTGTTTTCTTAATTTGCCCAACCTTTCTCAATCTTTAAAATTTCTTTGTTATTCTTTGAGTTTATTTGAGTGTTTGTATTACCACTGGAAGATTATGCTAATAGTATTGCAAAGTAGAAGGTTAACGTGGCTTTTATTTACTTCTGTAGTCACGTCGTGGTCCACGCAAGATCTACCGTCGCCAGCGTCGAATGCCATGGCATGCGTCCAGCAAGGAAGACGGCTCGGAAGGTGGTCTGAACGAGACTGAGGAGAGTCAGTCTCAGCCCATCTCAAAGAAGATAAATTACGCAGCACTGGAAGCTATCGTAGGTGCAAAGGCGGAGGTATCGTCTGCTGCCGGAGAGGGTGCTGCCTCTGCCACTAATCCCTCTTCATCCTCCTCCTTGGCACCAGAGATCGGCGTTGGTATTGACGGCTCGGCTGTTCCATCGCCTGGCTCCCACGCCCCCAACCGTCTGCTCGAGAAGACTGTTTGTGTCTCTACCGCACATTCCAAGTGCCTTCCGTCCTCGGTGTCGTCTCCAGCACTGCTGGAAAACCTGCAAGATCAACAAGAGGAAGACGAAGTGGCATCGGAAGAGGATGATGTGGAGGATGAATTGTACAACGAGCAGCAAGAAGACTCAGATTGGTCCGAAGGTGATGAGTGTTGGTGAAGCATTCTTTCCAAGAGGCTGTCTCACCTCCTTGTACATATTATTTTTAAGTATGCGCATTTCATACTAGTAAATGTTGTCACTGTGTGCGGGCTTCATTTAGGGCTGTTTGAGTGTTCAAAATTTCGTACCCTCTGAATGAGTTTCGCTAATCTAGTACTGAATGTTCGTGCTGTTGTTTTAACCTACCGGGAAAACAAATGCCAGTTAGTGACGCATAAATACAATTTTGCGGAATTTGACGCACACATACATAGGTGCCCGCGCCATTGCAAAAGGTGGATTTTGACGGTGGTAAGAAGTTTGAATGTTTATGCGTTGTGCCTTTAGTCGAGGTATGCTTTGTAGAGTGTACTCATGATGGAGTAAAGTAACAGGACAGTATAAGGGGTAATTTTGGATCAAGAGAGAAACGGCAGATGAAAGCGCGCGTTGGTGGGTTGTGTACACTTGAACTGCACGCGTAATCAGGCTCCGGTATGTTTGATGTCAATTTGTCTCCACATGGGTAGGATGCGGACGATTGCTAACACGAACCGGGTAATCCGGGAATAACAAGAGCTGATGGCGTCTTCTGTAGGGAGAAGGTATGCAATGGGATGTGCACATTTGGTTCTTATCCTCATGTCACTGCTCCAAAATACTAGTGGTTGTGATTTTGAAAATGAATAACCCGAATCAGCCGAAACTCCTGACAGGTGATACTTCGGAGTTACTTATCATGCATTTTGTGGAACCTCGAGGAACCTCTGGCCTCATTTCTAATTTTGATATGTTGGGTAGCACTACACGTTAGTTATCTACCCAAGCTTGGGTGGTGCCCTTTAGATCCTAGCATTCCTTAATTTGTGCATAAAACTCAAGCACACAACTGCTTTTCCCCAACCTCATTGGCACATGAGCGATTCGCCTCAGCAGAAACCACTATAGGCAGCTTTGAATTGCCCGTTTGCAACAAATAAGTTGGTAAGATTATGCAGACGAGCCTCTTGACAGCCTCACTTCATCGTTAAGCAGTGAAAACAGCGCTGCATTGTATATTTATTCTTGACCGTTACTTCAGCGTTTTCTCCCAATTCACGTTTCAAACCAGTGCTTCGTGAGGGCGCCAGTTGACTCAAGTAAACTCTGTCCACAGGATAGATTATTTTTTACTTCTAGTTCTACATTTAGGATCCTTAAACCAACTCAATTGACAGTGTTAAAGCAACATCTCATCCGAAAGCCAATAAAAGTAAAATGGCAAACACGTTTAAAACTGGAGAAAGTTTTGAACAATCTGGACTACATTTGAGCTGACCATGAGCAAAATCTGGATCAAGGGTCGCTAAGGTGACGAGCGCAGCAACTACTCCAACAGAACATGGGTACAGTGACAGTCACGTGAGATGCATGGGAGCCAGCAACCACGTCGGTGCCACACCCACACATTGAGCTCGGTCGGGAGTCAATTGAATGCATTTGGCATGTCTATCGCCTCACGAAAACTCCACCAATTAAGCGCCCCTAATGGCAGTTGTGACATCAACCGCGCAGCACACAACGAGTATTGGGGGAAAACCCCCACCGAGTCCTCACCCCACAACAATTGTCTAGTTGTTGCTAGGATCCATTTTGCATTTACATCGTTCTGCATGATTAAAGTAACATCGCGGAGGAAAACAACTGCATCAAAGCCTCACAACGGGGTGGAATAACTTGCCGGTTATATCCAAAAAGAATTAATAAAATATGAGGTCAATGTGGATAGTTGGATGATCGATGAGTTAGTCGGTGAACAATCGTATGCGCAACTTTGCAAGGGAAAAGGAAGTCGATTTATCTACAACAAGCAGACAAGCAGTTATACCAGAGAGGGGAGGGGAAAAGAGTGCTGCGATGTTATGACGGTACGGACACAAAAGGCGTCATCCAGACCTGCACGCGGCAGAAGAAAGGGGGAGGACTGAGGACTGAGAGGGTGGGAGCTACAGCTGCAGCGCAATCACTCGGTGTTAACTGCAACCGGGTCGGCAGGGAACTGCAATGGAAGAGAATTACAGTGATGAGACACCAGGCTGCGATATTCAGCTTAGGATTAAAGTGCGAAAGACAGGTAATAAGCGGTAACACTTACATAGCTTCTCCTGCGTTAAGAATGCAGAAACTCGTTGGTGTCGACAAATCACAACAAATTGCAGTGAAAGCTGTTCGTTGAAGCTCTTAAATACACTACAGCTAACATTCAACAAGAACCTGTACATGATAACGAAAGTCAACATAAATGAAAAGAAATGAGTGTTTTTGACCTCCATACTGTAAAGTTGCTAAGACAGGGAAAAGGCACAGGTGGGTGCATCTTTCTCCAAGCCAATGTGATGGAACAACATTAAGGGTATGGTTTCAAGTCTTGCAGAGAACGCTTTCCACTCCGATTTCATTTCGATCGTAGTAAACACTTGGTCCACAAAATTACAAGAGATTACAAACGATATAATTATTAAATAGGTAATAATAGTACTACTCTGATACTGGCTATTGCGATGAAAGTAGCATCAACGCCGTTTAATCTTGAACGCAACCAAACCTATTTGTGTTATAACTAAACAAAGCATATTTAATGAAAAAGCAAATAGCAAAAGTTCATCCTCATTTCAAAATTAAGGACATTACATTCCTCGCAATTTGATGACCCCGACCGATCTTTCGACCTAAGCACGGATACCTACCTAGTATTTCGGAATATTTTACGAAAAAATCACAGTACAAATGCGAATGAGTAAAATAGAGAATGATACAAAAGTGCGTCTTAGCATACTCCTAAAACCCACGATAACTAATCACAGTTTTGTCATAGATTAGGCAAGAGAAATTCGCGCAAATAGAAGGCTTTGAAGGGAAGCATCGAAAGGTTTCAAGATACATCTAACATCTTGGAGTGTTATCCTTCAAAGGCAAATATCAACCACATCGGCAATTACAAAGCCCAGCGGTAGAATGCTTGGCATTAAGGTGACAATTCAGTATCATTGCGAGTTTAACTCATAGCAAATACACGAAACCCGGATTGACAAATGAGATACATCGAGACAAATCCCACTCCAAGAGCATCAGACTCTGAAATATATATTTTGCAGTTAATTAATTACTTTGGAAATTTATCTGAGCAAAAACTTTCCTCTGGGGCGAAATTGGTAATGAGGGAGGCAGCCTCCGATGGTAAGGTCTGCCGCAACGTATAACATAAGAATGGCAAACTAAGATTAAATGAAATGAAAAAAGCTCTGCACTACTTACCAGACCCAAGCTATAAAGGAGGAACTTAACAGACGAACAGTAAATGGAGACAATTGCGTCACTCGGGTAAAAAAATGCCACGAATGCACGCTATTGCCATTAATTTGTTAAGTCGCACTGCTATGCTGGTTAGCAAGGCGCGTCACCGCGATGTCTGAAGAAACTTAATTCAGCGCAGGACAACAAAAAATTGTCCTCTATCATGTGTTAATACTGTTGTTCAGAAGAATAATGTGAAACTAGTCGCAACCCACTGATCCGTCACGGACTACGACGGAAAATAGTCGAAACTTAGTGAACTACAGAAACGCCAATAGATAGCAGCTGAAGATAATTGTTATTCGTCGCATAATATTAAGCATACTATTGCGCACACATTCGCGATCACACTCCAAGTAGTAATGTGTATTGCCAACCTATCGCCAGTCTCTTCATTACGGCCCAAGAAGCACTCGTCTTCAGACGAAACGCGGTCAAAATATATCGCCAATTCAAACAAAAATTGTGATGCCGCTGCATCAGAGTTTTTAAGCAAATTTTCGAGTAGGGCAGGAGGAATAGGTTAGTGCGCGGTCACATACAAGGCTGTTTAGTTTAGGGAACGTCGCAAGTCGCAGGGGGCACCGCCGAACGCGATCGGACATGTCTAACGTGGCACGGAGAGCGCAGACACCGGGCAGCGTGCTTTGCCAAATGTGGCGAGTGGGTGCTCATGTGCGCTAGGTGAACGTGCTCCTGGGCGCTGCATCCGCTCACGGGGAGGTGAAACACCTCATGGGCGAGACCGCGACTGCCGTGCCGAGTAGTCTCCTCAAGAAATCGTATCAACGCTGGGTCCACATCTGGAAAACTAGGCCGTCGACGTAGGTCTAACGCTGTAGCCCACTCATTCAGCAACTAAAACCCGCAAAATTGCAATAGAGCCCGTCGTGCGCTTCTCTATCTCTCTCTCCCCCTCCTTGTCCATCCGTTTACACATGAGCTGGAGTGATGGCACATCTCATGGACCAATGTCACGAATTAGGAACGATGACTGTTTCACGAAATTGAAACCTAATGGCAGGCACAATTTAGCGACAATAACTGTTTTAAGGCGAAAAGCATCAAAGACACATGCACAACGGTACACATGTAAACAGCAAGTGCAGAACGTGAAAACAACATATGAACCATATATTTGACGTCAGGTTCGCAAATAGGGTCTGAAAAAGCCTTTTTGAACCCGTTAAAAGCTTTTGTGAAGATTTAAGAAAACAGTATCTACTTTATCCCTTCAAAAAACCACTTGTTATAAAAGCAGAAAAAGCAACACAGTTAGTGACTACAATTACACCGATTTTAAGGCGTAGACCACTCAGAAACACGATAATTGTAGAGAATTAAGCAAATTCAATATTCCAATTTTAGCATGCAAAAAGTAATTTCATGATAACAGTAGTCAGCTCGGAACTGTTGAAATGGATCGAAGCACTGAAAGTTCGATTACAAAGTGTGCCAAAGTTAAGAAGAGAAGGTTGGCCTATGCACATAGACGTTCTTGTGAAGTGGAATGTTAAAACTAAAATAAAGTTTATTAAAAACAAGAACGTACTACACGCATACAAAAGCATTTTAACACCATCAAATTTCATCTCGCCAAAGTACCACCTGGTTTAGGGGACATGACTTCGAGAACTGCAAAAAAACAAATGATTGGTTTTTTACCCTTGAGTAGTCAACATCGAGGTCCTTTTAACGATACAATGTAAGAACTAGGGCTTCTGTATTAAGCAATGGGCCAAAGAAATGTGGCTACAAGCACAGCATTAAAACTAATAGCCATGTAATGAGCCACCGATGAATGTTGGAAGCCAATAGCTTGTGAAACCCTTATTACAATCGTCCTATTATAAATACTTAGGAAAACGGCTAATATGGATAATTACAAAAGATATTTCACTGAAGAAGTCTTATGCTTAGATGACATTCCCTATGACACGCATTATGGATAGCGTAGCGGCCCCCATCACAGGACAGTTGAAATAAGCTCAAACAGGCGCATGAAACTGTTTCAGACCCAAGTCTCAAATATTACCAAGGTGCATTATGAGAAATGGAAATCTAAGCAAAACATACTGAGGTAACCGCAAACTATAATCAAGGTGAAGTACTAAAGATATATTGACAGCAGTATGAACAAGCGATGCAATGAATATTACAGAATGCTTTAACAAAGGAAAAGTTCCTATTAAAACAATGCGCAGAGATAAAAAAACCGCTTCAAGAACGAGAAGGGGTGGTATAAGAAAGAATAAATAGCATAAATGTATATAGGTAAGTTATAGAACAATCTTTAACTGTTGTTAATCAATGCACGATATGCGATTGTCAATAACAACAGTTATACTCACGTGCTGATAATAAACCGACAAAGGGGTCTTTCCCATCCACAGTAGAAATAGGGCGAAGACAATGGTGAATGCAGCAAGAATAAGCGAATAAGCAGAATAGGACATCATTTGTACATCACGACTACAATTATTTTAAAGAGATCGGTCATTTTATAACTTAGGGTTTGGTGCTATAGTACAACGATCACAGACGTGACACGTTATAGAGGCAAAAAATGGAGGATACCCGCAAGATAATTAGTGAAATGAACTAATGTCACTTCAAAACGAATTACTTAAGGAACGCTTACATTAGTAAATACCTGACACCACAGACCATATCGCGATGTCGTGATAAAGAGAAACTTTTAGGACTTTGGTACCATGAGCAACTAGCATTTTACAAATGTAGCGACAATGGGTTAGCAAACTTAGACAAATCACAGCATCAAGTCAAATGGCTTGATTTATACACAACAGATATAACTGCTCTCCTTTAATGCAAGGACAGAGACATGCATTTCCCTCAAGGGGCTGTACAAGAAACTATACGTAAGTACTAGGTAAAAGTACCCACAAAAAAAACTATCTGGCCTCATTACGTACGGCAAACAACGAATGCGCACGACCCCGGGGCGAACCGCAGAAGTCCACATTAGTCCCCCAAGGTCGCACGGAGGGGAGACGCTGATTAAAACAAGGAATAAATGGCTTAGTAGTAACCTATGAAAGGGACTGCTTAAACCACATAAACGCAAGTAGTTTCAAAAGTGGATTGCAATGCTTTGGGTTCACTTTAGCGTTCTTAACATTTCAGTAATCAGTGCAAACATGAAATTGTTACATCAATATATCCTTGTGTAATAGTTATGCGTTTTCGGCATATTCTTTTTAACGCGCATTGAGCTTTAAATCACTCTCGTCACCTATCTCAGCTATAATATTGCTCATTAAAAGGAAGAACTTAGTACTGCTTCGATGTGAAAAATCACAGTTAGAAAAATGACAAGACACAAAGCTGGTGACTTTTGAGCAATAAAGTTTTATCTTTTACCCCAATCCAATCAAATATAAACCCATAATAGGACGACTGCGCTAAATACCCCTTGAATGCTCGGCACTTGACTCTGACTTCCCAAGTTCCCTGAGGTCTCAATAAGCCGAATACTATGGAAAAACATGTCACTGAAGAACCGAAGGGCTAAGCGACTGCTGGTTTGGGCCAAAGACTATGGCAAATGGCAGAAGCACAACTTACTACAGCTTGGCCATTTATTTAATACACAGTTAAATCAAACATCAATACTCCACATAACATTGTATACAAGCAGAAATTATTGAGTGATGTGCAATTAATTGGCCGCTTGTTTGACTCTCGGTTGTGGTAAAAGGACCACCGAGGTGCTCCTCCATTGTACCTTCACCTGTTGGGCTGAACTCTAGGCTACACCAGTAGCTCTAAATCCTTCTGATGCTTAATGTATATATTCTACCCGAACATTATGTATTCTTTTATTTTCGGGGAAATCTTAAGGCGCTCTACCATAAATTGAATTCAATACTTTTAATCTAAACCTCTTTATACTTCTCAAAGTTAGAAGCCCACTAAGACCCAACCACAAGACATACCCATGTAGGAGAAGGTATTCATGTACTGGAGCACCCGAAGCCTTCCCTGACGTAGTAAAAAGTAGCAGCACCATGGCAGAAAATATATTACTAATGTAAAGAAGGTCTGAGGTCAAAGATCTTTGGCGGTAGGCCCACTCTTAATACTAATAGCCGTGTAAAGGACCACCTATTAGGACTGTCAAAACAAGTAGCTTGTAAAACCTCTTATTACGGTCTTTATATTATAAATGCCTATAAATTCAACACCCCCATGTGCCAAGCCGATATACGTAATATGCCCCTGAGACCATGTCGTCGAGCGGAAATACAATCTGCGGAAGTGACGGTGTAAACAAATTTTGGGTTAAATAAACTATCAATGTATGCTGGCACGAAAAGTAACCACTGTATCTACCAGTAATTGACCATCGAAAATTGGCACTACTTACACACCATCAAGGGAAAAGCTATCTATTATGAGCGAGAGATTTGGAAAAAAGGCAATAGAATGGTTTACACTGGCGCCAAAGAATGCATAAATTGCAGTAGCTTCAATGGATATGGTCGAATTATTGTCACATTGCATAGGAGGTTTGGGCACTGTCGCAGTCGCGCAACAATTTAAACTAACTTTACTAATGCACCTCTATAGTCCACAGTTTGAAGCAAATTAATTAATTCTTAGTTTAAACATGTTTCTGTTTTGTTGCCTGGGCTAACTACACCTGAAAACACAGTTACATGTTCGCATCAAACTTTGACCAAGTCTAGTTTACTTCTAGACGCCAATTTCTGTCGTATGCGTAACTGAGATGCCAAAGTAAGAAACACGAGTGCAATAGCTTGAAATGCCAACACCAACCTTTTCTCTTCAAAAGTTTTTAGAACTTTAAAACAAGTACACAATAGGTTTTTAAAACTCCCATTTATTTTTATGTTTGGAATCAGGCAGAATAATTTGGGTTCATGAACAATGGAATACGGTGAATTGCGTTAGATTGGAAACGTAGCTTCCGCAAACTTAAGAGTGGTAATTAAAAGTTAAACTATATGTCAGAGAATTAGATAAACTTAATTGTAGTAGATTCCTCCTCTAGCTCTTCCCGTCTGTCCTTCGTACTCCTCGAACGCAGAGACTGCTTCGGTGAGGGCACGTTTATTGGTAAGCGTTAAGGAGAATGCGTACAGGTCCTGTGTTTAGAACCCTCTGCTGCCTCCGCCACGACGTCGGTGTTCACTGGACGCTTAAATAACACAAGTACCACATAACGCTTTGACAGCACAAATACATCGCGTAATGTTAAACACACCATTTACAGGTTCAGCACCGTTATTAACAAACATGCATCACTTCCAAATCTGTGGATCAAATAATTCGCAAAAGTTATAAGGAACATCAAATAGGCCATCGAAGCTTACTATAACGTCCAAAATGGTGAAAAGAGGAATGCAGAATGTGTAGACAGAGGCTCCACACGGTATCAAAAAGTGATGAGCTAGTCACATTCAATGTTAGGCCATACCTCTTGGAATAAAGTGGCATCGGTTTTCCAGATTTCCCCGAATAAGCAAATATAGGCGCAATCGACAGACATATGAGCAAGCATACATTTGGCAACACAAAGCAAGATCTCAGAAAGTGTGTTAATATTTCTACTATTTTGCCCTTCTACCTCCAGCTTGGAACCCTCGATGGAGGAAAATGTAAAAATGAAGGCGATTTTACAAATAAGCAATGTTGTTTGGGGTATTTGAGTCATTCACCTTGGGGAACGACGACGTCCCCTCAATCACGGGGTTGAAATAATCTGGCTGCTTGTCACCTAAATGGTGCATTCAAACAAACGTGTGTCACAGCACAATGCACCCCCATTGGGACACAACAAACAGTAATTGCGCGTACCTCCTACATCAACTCATCCAACTCACCTTTACCCGAATTAATCCCTGACTCCAGCTTCTCTTTCGCAAAGCGGAAATGATGTACCCTATTCTTGTCCCAAAAGTCAAGTTTTTGGTTGGATTTAACGACACTACCCCAACTATCCATTCCTGCTTGTCAAGCCTACACAGTGGCACTGGTTTTGGTTAGCTCATCAAAGGATGAAATCATGAACTTCTACAAGTCTTCTCTGTTTGACAACGTGGTTAACTGGTGCAATTTTAAATTTGCACGACTTAATGTAATGGGTAGAGAGCACACCAATTCCGTTTTCTTTGCAAATCTAAAGCAGTCTGTCACTTTTTAGGATTTATTAGCCTACCATGTCCGACCGGTGCCCAGATAGTTTGCATCGAACGGAAACCGACATTTCCTCCACGATGCTGATGCTTGCATTATCTATGAAGGATTTATTGCTTGCTATCAAAAAAACGTACGGTGCTCATAACCCTGTGTAAGGAGCGTGGGGTTTCCTATTCGTCTAATTATGATAGACAGCCAAAAAGGCAAATGCAAACCTCACAAGAATCCCACTTTTGTGGTCAAATTATTTCGATTGAATCAACTTCTGCGGCAGATTATTTACTTTCTGCCACAGAATAAGCCACTATAATAAAATATCCATAGTAAGAAAACCCCCTAAACAAATTCACCAAGCGAACTTTGGCAGGTCCATGCTTAGTTACTTTTTGGAAACATCAAACATTGCCGATGAAATATTGTCTCTTAAATTCGGTATGGATTTTTTTACGCCACATTTGATTGACTTCAAAGCTGCTGGCAAACAAACGGGTGGCACTTTTGAAGAAATAAAACAAACGGGAGAGCATTCTGCTTGTTGTTCACCCAAGCTGAAAAGAGCAGCTGGTTTCAAATAAAAAACAATTACTTGATGGCAATTTGTACCCATTTCTGTTGCAAAATATCGAAAATTTGGTATGATGTAACCCTATCTTCGGTGTATAGGTGATTCCTAATTAATACACAAATATTACTATATATTAGTACATATTCTAATTGGCAGAATGCATCTCTTTTCCTTCTGCTAAACTGTTTCCTAAAAGGGCATTTCCTATTGATACCTGCTGAGGAGTTTGCAGTTGTCGTCGTGACGCTTGCCACGGAAATGAGCCAGAAACGGAGGTGCATCAGCAGTTGCTATTTTTTCCCAGTCAAAGCAGCAATAATACAAGAATGCGAATCGGGGTGTATATAAGTGTACCGTCCCTGGACTCCTTGAAGACGAAAGAAGACACAATACTCGGGCAGAATATATATTCAGCGCAGAGGTGTCTGGACTACTGGCATGGCCCGAAGGCCAGCCCACCCAGCGAGGTACAAGAAGGCTAACTCAAAAGTACAAAAGTGGCGTCTCACCGATACCGAGGGATAAACCACCATCGTATTACATAGGTTTTAATGATAGTTATAAAATCACAAGGAACTATTGTAATGTAACGTGAGAAGCGGTCTGCATACGCCAACTGCGTGACTGAGCGGTCACCATTTGCCGCTGATGACCTGTGCACATGCACCAGTGTAATGGATTCAGCTTTCTTTCTCCCGCCGTTGCTTTCATATCTTAGGAAATCTGGGTTCTTTCCCCATTGGAAGGGGAAGGGGGCACTGGCATTCACTCAGTCAGGAGGTTGGCGAATGCAGACCGCTTCTTACCTTAAAGCTACATTTAAACTAGCATGTAAAACAGTACTTCACATACATTGAGCAAAAAGCAGAAACAAACAAATGTGATTTCTTTGCATTAGTTTAAGTACCCCAGCAAAACAAGCAAAACACCTTTGAGAATGTGTGAAACGAAACATTTGGTATGGGATGTGAATGGAAGGAATGGTGATTGGGCAATTGCCCACATTTACGCCTTTACATAATGTTTCACACCAAACCAATGACATTCAGAACTAGGCCAAAAACTGCCGCTTTACTCGCAAATCTTATTTATTTTAAAAGTAGGTTTTGTAATACGAGTTAAACAACCAACTGGAAGCGCATTAAAACGGATCTAATCCTCATGATACTATGCAACAAAAAGTTGTATCAAGCCCAAGGATTTTAGAATGTCTATTTCTAAGATGAGATCCCCGCTGTTAAAGAAGTCAGATTGACGTGTTCTAGTAAGGAAATATTAATAACATTGCTGTAACTATTGGTCATATAATGGTTTATTTTTACCATACTATTGCGCAGAAAGCCATGGATTCAACCTGAAATGCCCATCCAGGGATAAATGCATTGTTTTTCTTTTTCATAATAAGACCATGTAAATATCCCAACCATTGGTAAGGATTCAAAAGGGAATATTCTTGCTTGTATCATTTATTTGATTAGAACCTGTTGCATCCCAATCATACATGCAGAATTAATAGGCAGCATTTTTGACATTTTCAGATGGCTACAATGAGTTTCATTCTTGGCGACAGTTTGAATGAAGGAATAATTTTAATTAAATATATGGAGACCTAATGGCTGGATTCATAACAGTATCTTAACTTTTAGCCTAATCCCAAAATTAATACTTCTCATTGTTGTTCTTTGATTGGGCCACGGTTAAAAATCTTTGGCGATGGCCCCTTATAATCGAACTAGTTGTTGCTAAATAAACTTGCTTTTTTTTATAAAAACACTGCCATCAGCGAAACAGGTACTAAATTATTCAGTTTAAATCGGGCGTGTTTGATGTAAGTCACATGAAAAATGGTAGTTTAGGAAGATCCGCACCGTCAGGTTGTGTGACGCCTGTCAGTAAAATTAATCACTTTTTTCGCGATAATGGCACTTAAATCCAAAGCGCACACACTTTTTCTTAACTGGAAACTTTTCTACCCCACTATGAAACCTAATATATGTATCAGAACTTTCCCGGGCTACCAATGTCCGGCTGCAAACTACCAAAGCCTTCTTCACTATGCTATGCCTTATTGTCTTTGAATGAATTTTCTTATTAATCGCACATTAATGGCGGTATTTTTATGCTCCTTTAGTTATTATTTCAAGCATAATAAATTAAAAGAAAAGTCAGGGCTTCGATCACTGCATTAAATACTTTAAAAGAAGGCTTTCAATTAACAAAGGCAGGTAATATTAGTTAGTTTAAACTAATTGCGTCTTCCAGATAGTCAGACTGATGCAACCATGAAAAGCTATTTGGTAGTATTCTCTGTTTAGTTGCCATTACTACTATTGATTTTGATATGCATCTAAAAAGTCACATTAGTTTTAATACATGATAAAATAAATTATACAATAATGGCTGATTATTTCGCAATAAAAGGCTTTAAAATTAATTTGTTTCTTTGCTGAAATTCCTCTACCACTGTACAAAACACGATAAAGGGGAAAAGCAGTAGTTTCTGCTGACTTACATGGATAAAACATCAGTTGAGATATTATTTAAGATGTTTAAGGTTTTAGACACAAAAACACCATTAGTTCTTTTATTTTTACCACTTAACTATGGTAAACGCTAAACCGTTTTTACCTGCATCCATTAACTCTAGAGATCACCTTTGAATGTAGGCCTTGTACTAACCAATTACAAGGTGGCAATGCTCATGCCTATTATCCACTGTTCAGTAGTTGTAAATCATGTCATGGGGGATAGCAATGAGAGGAGGAACCCCACCCACAAAAATCGTGGAAGTGGTTCGAGAATGAAGAAGCCACTAAGCCAAAAAACAAGGCGTAGGGCAGCCACAAAGATTTTGCTGGTTTTCTTCATGATACGTCATTTTTTAAGTTTCTGTTAAAAATATGGATAAAATATTTATAGGTACACACTAACGTGATCAAACACTGAATCCGCTTTCACGAGCGTCAAGGCCAAATATTGTGAAGATGAGATTTCACTAGTTTAAATCTATGTGATAGTACACTCTTGTATCGTCACCTTTAAACGCACAAATCCAATGTGTTGTCTTCTATCTGTGATTCTTCTAAAGGCAATTTATTAGTGAACACGAGCCCAAATTTTGTTTCCCGGAAGTAAGCTTTTCATTTCTAGACACTTATTTGTAGTGTTCCATTTTTGTTTCATCAATAGATTTATCAAAAATGAATACGCAAAAGAGAACTTAATGTTGATGTGTTTGCCTATATTCACGAACACAGAACATTAGTCTTACATACCTCTTCTACTTCCGATGAAACGTTTGGAATGCTTCGTACGGGAATAAAGCAGTGGGCTCAGTTTATCTGCGTGGGTGGATGGGCCATTAAGAATTGTCAGATTATGCAGGTAGGGGGTTGGGGAGGAAAAGGAATGGTATACATTCGCGCCACTGAGGCGAAAGTGGGTGGCACATTACGCCGCCGACAACATGACCGCGGTTCCCTGACAGGCCATTAAATACACACCTGCAGCTACAGCTGCGTAAACAAAAACACGCAAATATTTGCATTCTCTTAGAGCAGTAACCCCAACGCTTACGCACACACACATACACATATACAATGGAGAGAACAAATTGACTGACTCTGCATAAGTTCCAGACGATATAATTAATTGAGGTGTCATTATTATTGTTCTAGTTGCTGAGACTTTTCTTTCACAAAGAGGCTGCTCTATTTTTTTGAGCATATATTACCTTTTAGGCACCCCTAGTGTCCACGGCTAGGGGTTAATATCTTTGAGTGGATCGCTGATGCTTCACATTTAAACTCTTTGTGCGACAATTGTTTATTAAAAAAATTAAAACGAATATCACCAAGAAGTTAAATTATTTGAAATTCCTCTAGATGCATCAAAAAAAAGACATTTAAAATTGTGTGAATGGCTTCAAAAAAGACGATGTTATTGGAGATGCCTCGCTTGAAGAGCTGGCGTTACGCCATGCAAATTAACACAAGCTTAATCGTTGCATTCATCGATACGCAAATCGACGTTGAGTGGGTACAATGATTACAAACAGTTTTTACCCCTTTAATTTCTTATTTATCCAACTTTTCAACCAATCATTCATGCAGTGAGCTTTTACCATATAGCTATTACTAAAGTTTGCGACGCCTGTTGCCAAAAGTAAACCATAATTTAGTGGTGCAATGTTATTCGCAAAGCACACTACAGGTGATTTTAAATCCTGCGCAAACACATTTCTGAGGCCAAAAAAGTAAATGTAGCTTGCCTTGGCGACACGATGAACCTTAAAGTGAATCTATAGTGAGCACAGACGGCACCTACAACTTCATTCTGACAGTCTGGAATTCTAAAATTCCACCAAATTATCAATTTTACTTGTATAGAACCCAGGGCAAGGAATTTGATTAAATTGATAAATTGCTAACATAGGCCAAATGATGTAATCAAACAAAGAACGGTAGTCAGAACCTTCCACGCAATTTTCAACATTCGACACTAAAGATGGTCCAATATTGCGTTATTTGACATCTCAAATGAGATAATATTAGCTGATTGTGAGTGTGAGAAGCACTGACATTTGTAATTACGAATAAGATAGTTTAATTCAAATCTCGAAGTACCTTCAAATTTGCTCCCCGTGTACTGGTTGCTATTGGGAAGAATTCGATTGGTCATCTGCTCAAATGTGAACTCAAACGAACCTCCCTGTAATTGGCCAGTCTCCTACACATAGCCGCCCGGCCAATAACCGTGAGATTGGGGAGTTACAAAACCTAACCGAAGGCATTTTCAGGGCTCAGTACCTCCCACAAATATGAAGGCGTTTTATGCAGTCCTTTTCACTGTTCTGGCTATGATCGTATTGACCATCACGGCCGAAGAACCGAAAAGTCACGAAGAAGACAAAAGAATGCTTTACTGGAAACGAGATGGTTTGGAGGACTTAGACGACGAGGGTTTGCTCTGCATTTTTAAAGGTATTTGAATCTTAATGCAGAATTGGACACCTATGGCCGTATAATACCGTTTCTCAAGATGAGGAATCGATTTGGCAGACTCCATAACTACCGGAAAAGGATGGTCTATTGGTAACCAATGCAGTTTTAGACAAAATTGCCAAATCCTCTTGAACTAAACGGTGCGTTGTTATTGTAAATTTGCTTACCTAAATGAGCTTACTTTACCATTTTTCTCGTTTTATTATACATCTTCGGTACAACAGGAGAACTTAAGGATGTTGTTGCCCTACATTTCCTCACTGATAACTTCTAGCATACATGACCAAAAACAATACTATGTGCTAATTTCACCTCATCTTTTTTTAGACTCACCCCTACACAATGAATGCGAGTATTTCACTGAAATACATCTTTTTATTCGAATCTTATCCACCTTCCTTGATGTACCTAAATTTAACCAAATAAATAATTTTGACATTTTGGCGCATTCACAACCAATCTTACTGCTTTATTCTCCTTCATAATCATAAAGTCAGTGCTTACAATGACTTTTGGAAGTCTGATTAGTATCAAAAATAAACTATTCAGTCCTAATTTGTGCATTCCTTTAAACGCATAATCTAAATAGAGTTAAATATAGTCGAGTAAGGCTACACAAGTGCTGCTTACCTGTAGTTCTGTTTATACTAGTTTACTTAAGCAAAGTATTTGCATTTTACAGAAGAGTTAGTTAAGATTACTTTAATATTCTGTCAAAAAACGTTGGCTTGAATAGAAAGACTACGGCTACTCTTAGTCCTTTTTGACAGAATCGTAGTCGTATTCACTTTGACTGACGAAGGGCTTTTATGCTACACTTTACTCTAACAGATGAACAGGATAAGTTATACCGCAACACTGGACAAGACATGGCAAAACATTTGTCGTAAGGTCCATTGGCGCTCTTTGGTCAGTTACAATTTCGAACAAATAACATCACCCTAGTGTTTTCAAATAGTGGCGTTCCCGAACATTTAAAAGTATTTGCTTACGCAGAAAGTAATGTAAAATTCTCATTTTGAAAAGTACCCACATCAATTATGCGGGAAGGACGTCAAGTGGCATATTGTTCTAACACCATCCATAGGAGAGTGAAGAATGCAGTATATTGGAACGTAGGTAAGGTGAATTTGCATAGCGGTTGGATACGAACTAAACATCTCCTAAGGCGAAGGTAGCGAAGCGTGAACCTGGAGGTCGCACTTCGGTGAGAATGGGCTTTAAGGGAAGTAGAGTTATCTCATTATCTCCTTCCGACCCAAATTACAGTGGTTCATGTGAATTTTTTAATGATATTTGAGTGGGATGACTATCGGCAGACAGAAGACAAATGAGTGCGCACTACTTTTACCTTTTAAAGGAGCAATTATGAATAACGTTTGTGCTGTTCGCACTGGAAGCAGAAAGTGGCCAGACGCTATCACGAGGAGTGAATGAATGTACCAGCATGGAGACGAACTCACCTCACACATTCCCTGTCTATTTTTACGAAGAAGCCCGGTTTTCCTACAAAGTCCGGGACATGGTTTGCAACCTTGTCCTAAGTTGGCTCGCGGTCACAGTGGTCAATGTTAGCTAAAACCCACAAAGATGAGGCAATTCTTAAGATATGCAATATTCTGCCCAAATATTTGTTCGACAATATCAATTTACACTATATACTTGAAAATTGCATGGCTTTTATCCCTGCCAATCCGTTCTAAAACTCGCTACAAATGAAACAGCCTTTGTAATTGCTACTTAAAACATCCGTAAAAGTGTGGCACATTCTCCTTGATTTCCCTTAATTCAACTTTGAGCAATTGTTAATTCATCATGACTAACGATCTGCGGAAACCCACCACTCTAAAGTGGGTGGGATGTATTTTCATCAGTCCTTCATATCAGCTACTAGATTAAGCTAAAATATATAGAATGAACGGCACAGAGGCAAAGTGGTCAGTTTAACTTCTTTAAATTATTTGCTGTCGAGGTGCCTACTTAAAATTGAGGTTCTACATTTTTTTCTGTTCTCAAAATATTGTAGTTATTAAGTAGTAATCTAAAACAATATTTTTAAGAGAGATATCAAATTTTTACCAGGAGAATGCATAAATTTATCGTTTTTCATTGATAAAGCGGCTGTGTTTTACTGTTGCGTGCCTGAAGCACAGAAGAGAATAAGAGGTATTCATATTTCCAGGGAGAACATTCCTTTAGATCCACAAAACCGTGCGGATGTATCCTAACCAACACCCGATTTGCAGTAAAGTAAATTTGGCAGTAAAATGTTAATGTTCATCTACTAATTGAGGCATCGCGGTAGGTTTGACGCGCAAGGCGATGATCGTCTCCGCATGACCCCCACTTTAATTGCCACTTTCGGAGTATTAATGCATGTGAATCGAATTCCCACCCATTGAGGTCAGGGAAAAATTTTTCATTTGTCGCCAGTCCCCATGTAGACCACTTCTTGACACTCCTCAGATTCGAATAAATGCGCAAGGTGCAGAGCATCCAAGTACTTTGTCCCCCTGTTATTTTAGTCTTTATTTACTTTGGCTTTATTTTGTTGAAATCTGTGGTGCCAAACCTTAGTTATAAATATGTTGCGGGTTTTGAATCATTCAATGAAGGATGAATTTTTAAAGACGCACCAAACAGCAATCTCATGGGGTTAATTGTTCCCAATGTTGATTTTTTCCTCTGAAATCTGTTGAGCCAATTCTCTAGTCATAAACGTGCAACGAGCCAAGTAAATCGGCTTTGTATTTAATGAAAAAGTGCACAAATTTTCCTAAACTATAGAACAAAAACTATATGACTTAATGACGTTTGCTGCTGGAAAAATCTATTTAATGAAAATTGCCAAGAAGTTATAAGCTCCTCTGAAATCCACATTTTATTTGTCAGCAAATGTATGCTTGATACAATTTTGAAGTCTAACTGAAATTTAAAAGTTTTGTTAGTGGGTTTGAAGGTATGGATCAGAAGCCTTTTAGGTGGATGAGGTATTTACATACGTATTTTATTACCCTTTTAAGGTGCACTGATAAAACTCTCATATTGACGGAATAAAAATATATGTACTCCCTATCCTTCCCGTAATTTTTCAAGCACATGTACGCACTTGTAATTCTGAAACTTGTTGCTCCAATTCGGTGAACCCATAGTGACGGTCATGACTACATTAAATTGTATGCCATCACTCATAGTTTTCACTAAGGCCCTAACTAATATACGTTTTTGGCAAAGGAATAGCCCCTGCAAACATTAAATTAGGATATTACAAGACAAACTAAAAACTGGTTTAAACTTTACCACTAGATAATTGTTACAAGTATGGCAAAGATATTCAACCCTTAACTAACTGATCGTATTGAACCTCTAAGCCTTTATTCAAGTACTCCTAAAAAACTTATGCGTCTAATAGGGGGTTTGCATATTACTTGGCTGCTATCGCAAAAGTGTCGCTTTTAAAGCGCAGCTCAACTTTTGACTTAAGCAGTCGGTCAAATAAAGCAGGAAACTTCTAGTTTATGTAACCTTGAGTAAAAATTTGGATTTTCGCTGAAATGATAGTGCTAATGCAGGGAAAATCGTTCCGCATTTTGGGGTTTTTTTTTGTCAACTTGCATTAAATCAAGTGAAATTAAGTGGGTTGTATTTTTAGTGATGTGTGAACTTTATGGGGGCGATATCATTGTTACCAAAGAAGTGGGAACACTTTATCAACTTTGTAAAAGCTAAATTATAGATTGTCATTACAGAAAATAAGAATATATGACAAAATACTTATATTGTGTGAAAAGGGGGCATGAACTGAAATATAGTTGCAACATATTGGTATTATTGTCTACCCTATTCTACAATGACACAGAATTTGCAATCGCAGACTTGGGTGATTTTTGATTGCCTAGCCACCGATAAATTTAACAAAATCTTGCTTCCTTGTGATTGACTAAAGTCCTATTAAATTCTTGAGCATGTTCGAAGTATTTATTTCAATGTTGTTCTGGGAGCTGACTCGGTCACAAAACTTTGATGCGCGTCCCAAAATTTTTTAACATTCAAAACTGTGGTCCTTAGCAGAATGGTAACCATATGAAAAAGTAACAGTAGTATCTACAATATGGAAGAAATTATTTGTGATAAACACCTTACTTAGTCAATTTGTACCCTAAGTTATCAAAAATACATTAAAACTTAGGGTTAAGGAAAAACTAAGTCATAAGAGAAGCATTCCCATAGTTGATCTGCATTTTGATTCAATAATAAAATGGATCCCTTAAATAAAATTTTTTATTTTGTTCGGATATGTGAGCGGCAAGAACAGGTGTTAGGGATGACAGTTTAAATTCAAAGCTAAATGAAACCTCACAAGTGGGATTCGTTGAGGCAAAACGGGTGTGTTTATGTGATGAAGGAAGCTGTTGATTGAGATTTCCAACTTCGCAAAACATTCTTGAAACCTGAACCCTCTTACTGAGAAGAGCTTCAAATAGTTGGAGGGAAACTAGAAAAGGTAATTAATTATTGTGAGTCTACGTACCTTTTGATTTCGCAAATGCCATTACATTATTTGAGTGGCACTTCGGACAACTCTATGAGTTGGATAATGGATACCATTAACTTACTGAACTAACTCCGTTTGCCAAATCATAATTGTTTCTGGCGCTTTAATGCAAAGGATTCATCGTTTTTATTAATTAATACTTTGCAACAGTGCGAAAGCGTATGCCCAGTCCTGGGTTGATGTGATGATACTCCGAGTACAGTTGCAAGAGTGACATAGCACTTCGATACGATGAGTTTGCTGTTATCTTCAAATGTTTTAAATGCCAAATGCCAAGCAAATACAATTGTAAGCAAGTATTTTCATGTACTTCACTTCTAAGTAAAATGATGTAGTTTCTTGGTTGGGATTCCTACTTGACATAAAACCATCTCACACTATTCGTCGGTCGTTCATTAAAAGGCCCCATAAATAATCGAACTGCTCAAGTAAAATGAGAGTTTAATGTAATCTAGTCCAAGAAATCTATTAAATTCATTATAAATCACTGCTTGGAAATCAATGGAATGTAATATGCATGAATGCATACTTGGATAAAGGAATCCTTTAATACATCAGGGAGGAGATAGTGAATTGAATTTAAAAGAGGAGCAAGCGCATGGAAGTAGGTGTTGACCTTAGGCTTTAATCAACAATGAATTAATGTAGGGGTTTTTAACCAGTTATGTTAATCAATTCATAATTAAGTGCAGTAAAATAAACTTTTTAAAAAGGCCCTAATATGTTGAACAAGTCATTTTATCCTTGAGAAACGAATGAATTTTGGAAAGGTAGAAGTGAGATAAACACAACCTTCCCCACAAGAAGCTCCAAGAAATAATAAAATGCGCTGTCTGGCTTAGCAGAGACCAATGTTTGAGGAGGATGCGTGTATTTATGTACAAAGTAAGTCTTTTTGCAGAGCTGTTAACCATACTTCCCATTAGGGCGTTTTCAAGCCACACCGTGATGTAATTATTAGGCGTGTTGCACAATGTGATTCATAAATTATAATTAATTGAGAGAGCTTCCTAAGTGTGGATATCCCTTAGCAATTTAGCCTTGATTTATGATCCGTTAAGTTTTGCACAAATCTAAAACTATTAAATCAGTTTAATTGTGACATTCGGAAATAGCCCAGTGCTCCATTTACACCTTATTTTTGGGATGGTTTTAAACAGATCATTGGAAAATATAAAGCACTTTTCCAAAGGATTAGCCAGGGGCTTTTGTTATCGGAATGTGAGCATGTTTAGTAGTAAATGATAGAAGCTTTTATGATTTAACTGCGTATACAAATTCAAGTATCTGGGATCTTCGTACTTGCTTTCCCACCTCCCACAACAATATTTTAGATGCATTTCATTTCATGTGGGGAATCAGCAGTGACGTAATTAATTAAGATTAGTCTCAGGCAAGCAGAATAAATTTTATTCAACTATTTATCAAGCTACTCAACTACTTTAATCTGAATTCTTAAGTTGCTTGGATTAGAGGCAATGATTTCTGAAGAATCTTAAAATAATTAAACAAGCTTTAGCATGCTGTTATACGGAAATTTTGAACATTTCTGGTCGTCAAAACCTTTACTTTGATGATACACAAAACCATTTCCCTCATTAGTGTTAGTAAAATGTTAGTTATGCTCCCAAAAATATCATCACAATCCTCCGGAGCCTTTTTAACGTCTGCAGAAGACATCGCAACCCTACCGATGCCCATTGGAATAGCTTAAGTTAGCAAATTCGATGAACACTGAGTGTATCGGTGAAATTTACCAACAAGCTTATGGTGTTATTATAAGATAATTTGCCTTTTTGACATATCAGCAGTAAGGTCTTTAATAGTGTTGACTTTACACAAATTACAATTCAAGGAGTGATGATGTTAAGAATTAACCCAAGGTTACTTAGGC